ATCTGCCTTTTGGACATCTCTGCAATAATTCTTATCACGTTTTGAAAGGAAATAGATTTTATTTCTAAAAATGTAGTATATAAAAAATAAAAAAAAAATTAGAAAGATGGAAATTTTACCAGAAGCAACAAAAAGTAAATCGGATTAAATCATTATCAAAAGCTTAACTGAAACTGCTTTTATTGGTTAATCAACATGACCGGTAATTCACATTCTTAATTTTAACACATTAGCTAGAGCTGCGTTGTCACCCAATAAAACAAAACAAATATGTGAATTAAAAAAAAAAAAAGCTGATCCAGTTTGTTCTTCACCTCTGTGTTAGCCTCTTTTTTTGCAAGTTTGTTTAGAAATCATCACATACGACTTTTTTTGCCTCTATAAGTATGATGCGTCAGTGGATTTCTTTATTTACTGTACGCAAACAAAATGAGCAAACTCGACAATCGAAATTGAAAAGAAGCTAGATGGTTGCTGGCTAAGCGAATAGAAGGCTCTGGTCTCCAATACAATAAAGAAATCCAATTTTATAAAAGTGATTGTGCAGAGCAAACTTTATTTATATTAAAAATTCAATGGATAAAGTTTCTCTTGAAGGAATAAAAAAAAGCCTGAAGCATTTCACGATCTCATTACTAATGATTCAACTCTAAGATGGCTCAATTGTTTCCTCTTGATACATAGCTTTTTTCCATTATAAGATAATAATGTTAGATGTAAAAAAAAAATACTATTTGAGCGGTTACTAAATTTCTTTTAAACTATTCTGCTTCTTAATGATGTTTTCAACATTGGGCACTCGGTCATTAATTCAGTTCTGCAAGTATAAGCATAGAATAAAAATCATTCAGATCATTCATATAATGTTTGAGTCAAATAGCTTTACAGCTTAAAGGACCACTATAGTGCCAGGAAAACATACTCGGCTCTGGAAGGGGGAAAGGGTTAAAAACTTACCTTTTTCCAGCGCTGGGCGGGGAGCTCTCTGCCTCCGATCCTCCTCCGTTCATCCTCCTGGGCTGAATGCGCACGCGCGGCAAGAGCTGCACGCGCATTCATCCCGTCGCATAGGAAAGCATTTACAATGCTTTCCTATGGACGCTTGCGTGCTCTCACTGTGAAAATCACAGTGAGAAGCACGCAAGCGCCTCTAGTGGCTGTCAATGAGACAGCCACTAGAGGATTAGGGGGAAGGCTTAACCCATTCATAAACATAGCAGTTTCTCTGAAACTGCTATGTTTATAAAAAAATGGGTTAACCCTAGAAGGACCTGGCACCCAGACCACTTCATTAAGCTGAAGTGGTCTGGGTGCCTAGAGTGGTCCTTTAATGGTTTAATGTTGTAGTTGAATTACTAATTAAAGTTAAAATGTATGTTAACTGAAGGGTCAAGAATAAAAAAAAATGGTTCTAGAGGTTTTTACTGTACATTATTATATAAAGTCTCCTTATATAAACTTAGTGAACAGCCCGATGTCTGTTGCTGGTGAGCACTCAGTGGTAGAGAAGAGTCTATACAGGAATAAGGAAAATGGACAGCTGGCTTTGTGTGGGTTGCAATCAGTGGCGTCGCTACATCATGCTGTGCTCCCCCTTGGATCCCCCCCAAATGCCGTCAACTTGATGGCCATGTGTTTAGATTCTATTCACTCAGACTGTAACAGTGTGTTACAGCCCGAGGGAATGCAGGACAGAGCAGCTGGAACGGTGCTGGGGCCGGAGGGAGCACTGACAGGCATAGGCTCCGCCCCCAAACAAAGCCCCACCTCCGCCGTTAAGCAGCAGACCTTGCTGCTACTGGAAAGGCCAGAAGATGGCTGTCTGACCCCCAGCAACAGCCTCCAGTGACAGGTAGGCTTGGTGAGTGTGTGTGTGTGTGTGTGTGTGTGTGTCTCTGCTAGTGAGGAAGCTTGTGTGTCTGTCTGTGTGTGTGTGGACTCAGCAGTCTCTCTGTGTGTGTGTATGGACTCAGCAGTCTGTGCGTGTGTGTGTGTATGTCTGTGTGGACTCAGTAGTCTGTGCGTCTGTGTGTGTAAGGACTCAGCAGTCTGTGTTTGTGTGTATATGGACTCAGCAGTCTGTGTATGTGTGGGTGTATGGACTCAGCAGTATGTGTATGTGTGTGTGTGTATGGACTCAGCAGTCTGTGCGTGTATGAACTCCGCAGTCTCTGTGTGTGTGTATGAACTCAGCAGTCTGTGTGTGTGTGTGTATGTCTGTGTGGACTCAGTAGTCTGTGCATCTGTGTGTGTAAGGACTCAGCAGTCTATGTTTGTGTGTATATGGACTCAGCAGTCTGTGTATATGTGGGTGTATGGACTTAGCAGTATGTGTATGTGTGTGTGTATGGACTCAGCAGTCTGTGCGTCTGTGTGTGTATGAACTCGGCAGTCTGTGTTTGTGTGTATATGGACTCAGCAGTCTGTGTATGTGTGGGTGTATGGACTCAGCAGTATGTGTGTGTGTATGGACTCAGCAGTCTGTGCGTCTGTGTGTGTATGAACTCAGCAGTCTGTGTGTGTGTGTCTGTGTGTATGGACTCAGCAGTCTGTGTGTGTGTGTGTGTGTATGGACTCAGCAGTCTGTGTGTACGTGTATAAATCAGCCTGTGTGCATTCAGCAACGTCTGTGTGCATTCAGATATCTGTGTGTGTGTGTGTGTTTTCAGCAGTCTCTCGGTGTTCATATCAGTGTACTGTATGTATGTACTCAGCAGTCTATCAATAATTTAAAATTTTATTCCTGTGAGTTGTTGTGTAGGAAGGGCCTCAGTGCACTGCTTTGCCCGGGGGCCCTTAACACTGTTAAGATGGTACTGCTTGTGTGTGTCAGTGAGCTTCTATTTAGTGAGCCTTGAGTTTATACAAGTGAGTTTGTCTGTAGTAAGCTTTTGTGTGAGTCAGGGAGTTTTGTCTGTCAGTAAGCTTGTGTGCTTACTGTACCATACTATATACATATATATATATATATATGTATATATATATATATAGACTTGTAGGAATGGCATACATTTTTTTCCAGGGCTGCTTTGGATTCCCAGTTTGGCTCTGCCAGCGAGTGCGCTTTACCGCTAAATCATCTGTGTGAGCTGCCACGCACTTTAGCCCTGTTACACGCGTCTGGGAGCTGCTGTTGACAGGTACTAGTAGTCTAGAGATTGGGACATGGGGTATATGCTCAGCTATCTGTATAATACTATAGTGCTGTTCTCTGTATAATACAGATCGGTGTGTGTATAATATCCCAGGATATTCAGTGCTTCCTGTATACTGCTGCTCTTTGTATAATACAGGTCTGTGTCTGTATAATATCCTGGGACAGTCAGTGTTCCCTGTATAGTGCTGCTCTCTGTCTTGGGATATTATACACAAACAGACCTGTATTATACAGAGAGCAGCACTATACAGGGAGCACCGACTGTCCCGGGATATTATACACACAGCCATGTATTATACAGAGAGTAGCACTATACAGGGAGCACTGACTGTCCCAATTTATTATACACACAACCCTGTATTATACAGAGAGCACTGACTGTCCAGGGATATTATACATAGACAGTAATTGATAGCTGTGCTGCAAAATGTCTTTGGAAATGTTGGTAACTATGGCACTGTATCAAGGGAAATGTGTTTGTTTTTTTAATAATCCCTGGTGGAAAATAATGAATCCTCCACCAGGGATTATTAAAAAACCCAAAAACAACACATTGTGTAGGGGGGGGAGGGGCTTAACATGCGGCAGGGACAAACTGCGGTGAGGGCGGGGTTAATTGTGCCCCCCTACTTTTGTCCCTGGCCCACCATGTGCCCCCTAAAAATTAATCCTAGAGACACCACTGGTTGGAATATGGAGATGTATTTCTGATTGCAGATGTTAAGGGAGTCAGGTAAGAAATCGCTGTAAAGAAATTTCAGTCCCTCTATCAGATCAACAATCGCAGTCTGGGTGCCTTTGTAGGAGTTAATCGGACGTGTTCTCATCAGGGTGTGCCTAATGCTTCTAGTGATGAGAATATCTAATCTGATTATTTGACTGTTGGCCAAAGTCAAGTTAGAGGAGGAATGAATGTTGATGAATGGTGCACCTTGTCTTGCCATTTGGAGGATGGCTCCTTTGAAGCAGTAAGTGTGCAACTACATTTTTATACCCCAGAAATTGCCTAGAACAAGTTTGTAGCTTAGGGTCCCCAAGGGTATTATGGATCATAGTGTTAAAAAGTTGAATAAAAATAACAAGGCCTCTCTGATATGCTAGAAAAATGTTCAACTTCAGGTTGCATCTGTGGGCTCTGTGGACTAATACCCACCTAGGCCAAGATGCAATCCTTTTAGGTCTGCCTGCAAAAGGGTAAACATGTGAGCATTGGTTCCTAAACCAGTCCCTTAAACAAAAATGATCCAGGTTTTGTCAGTATCTCAAAAAAGGACATATTTAGGAAATGTCAAAACCCTGGACCTGTTTAGTGTCTTGTGGACTATGTTGAAGAGAGGGTGTTGAGGGTGTTATTCAGTGTTCCCTTACGATTTCCGATGCTGGTGTTGAAATTTGAAAAAAGGCTTGAGTTTGCAAAGTAAACGCTGGATAGGTTTGGAAAAGTCCATTTGACAGCTTAGTGGACCATTGGGCTGTCAGTAGGGAGGGCAGATATTACTGCTGTATGCTTGTTTCACTATGTGGAGGAGATAGTCCCCCCAGCATGTAAATAGATGTGAAATGGCATGAGGATGTATAATAAAATAGTGATCTAGCTGCCATATTCTTCACCAGTAGAATAATACATAAGTAGTGTTGCAGCAGTTGAAAGGTTGTGGGATAATGCATTTACTAAAACTGACAGAAGAATTACATTTGTGGCTCACATTTGCTGCTCAAGCGATGGTTCAAGAGCAAACAAAGAGCCAAATGGCTGCATATATACTTGATGGCATAAATGAACTATGTACTCCTCCATATTTAGGATTGCTTTGGCAAACTCAGACATGCAATTCCATCAAGATTGTGAATAACTGTAGAGCCTTTATTCTTCAACCAGAACATTTGCTAAGCTCAAAAGATGTTCAAATACACTGAAAATTGTCTTTAAATTATTTTCTCATACAATTTCTAGGTCAATAAGGGCTGGAGTTTGGGCATACTAAGGAGTCTTTAGATTAAACAAACAGGCTGTCTTTGAAAATACGGTATATTAAATTTGAAAGTTACATGTCTTCCTTTCTCATTTATATTCAAGGTTTAAAAGCAAATGGAAATCAAAGAACTATAGAAGGAGGGAAAACGAGCAAGAAGAAAGTCACCAAAGTAAGGAAGAAAGGCAATAAGGAAGAGATGGTTTAGATGCAGAAGAACCGAGAGCAAGACAGGAAAAAAAAAAAAAATGATATATACAAACGAGAGATACATTAAGAAAACTGCAGTCTCTGGTTTAGACTTTCAACTGAAATATTACGGTCTCCAGATTGTTTTTTTTTTGTTTGTTTTTTTAAACAGCAATTACTTTTACTGTTAAGTCTGTTGTTTTGGTTTTCTTTCCCTCTCAAAGAAAAATCAGTTCAGTCAAGTAATTTTCCAAGTGATGGTTTATTTTTGTGCCTCAATGATGCGCATTATAATGTTATCCTTTTCCTCGTGATTACCAAACCAAAAAAGGAAGTTACATTTTATTTTGTTGTACAAGAGTTTCTGGAGTGAATCCTGGCCTTTACGTTATGCAGTCATGTGTGTCTCAGTGCTACCTACCAACTCGCTACTTTGAGCTGCACGTAATACTAACCAATAAACACAAATCTATTTACACCTAAAAAAAAAAAAAAAATAGCATGGCTGTAAACCTTGTATAAGTGATTTCCACTTAACATTATGAGAGACAATTGTCCAAAATGCACTAGTGATTGTAAATAAAGATTACATACTACGAAAACAAAAATATATATATAAAAAACAAAACAAAAAAAAACCACTATAATAAACTTTAAAAGCAAGACAACCAGGTTCTGAACCCAGGGAGTGTAAATTAATTATATATAGGGGAAAAAGCAAAGTGACAAATCTGTAGAAACACTACACATTGAATTAAAACACAACCAGGTCTTGGTGAACAGAGGCATCGGCATTCAAGACTGCAAGCAAGAAAAGAGAAATATTATGTTGAAAATAAGCGGAGCAGGACAAAAGAATCTCTAAAAAGGTTGATGATCCGGTCCATTTTCTCCGGCTGCATAACACAGACAGGTTTTGTTTGTCTAAACTGGTGATCAGAAGTTCCAAAGTCTTCCAAAGTTCTAAAAAATGGTTAGAGGAGCAGGGAAGATCAAGCAATACTTTTGAAATTGGGATTGCACATGATTGTTAACTTGCAGATGCCTGAAGAACCCCAAGCTTGATTTCTTTCTTCATCTTGTACACTGTGTCTTCCTTATATTAAGCACAATGTTCCAAGCCGTAGGTTCATCTCCTCACTGTTTTAATGTTGGCTGTGGATGACTCATTTCTTGCCAACTCCATTCGTTACTTTTGCCCTAGAGCGGTTCTTCCTTCGAGACGTTGTGCTTTCACTGTGCTTTGATGGGACTTCCACTGCAAATGTAATAACACAGACAGCGAATTAGACACACTTCACCCTCGTTCTGGTTTTATATCAACTTCAAATAAGAAAAACAAGAATGTGCTAGAACTGCTACTTTAAAAGTAAAAGGTATTCATTTATTTAATGACATGTATGACTGAAGGATGCATGGTTCGAATTGCTCCGTGCAAATAGAAAAATAAAACAAGAATACAAAAACAACCACTCGCCTGCAAACATAGTGCAAAATGTATTACAATATTAATCCCTCAAGGACAGAGGCAATTGTCCATGTTCTGGACAAAAACAAAAACTAGAATTTACGTTATATTTTTGTTCCACCACAATTTAAGGGTTTCACTTTAAGTGCCACACTACATATTTATACATTGTTTTTAAAGTACAATAAAATTCACGTATCAGTCCTGATTGTTAAATTCTGCAAATGTCTTAGATCTACCTTATTTTCTGGTAGTTAACGATAGCCCTATATTAATCCCCTGCCCCCAAGGACTATACCAACCATACCTTTATGGGTACACTAATGTATACCTACCTTAACCCTACACTATCCCTATCTCTAAAATAGTATTAACCCTTACCTTACCCTATCCCTAATCCTACCACTAACCCATAGGAAACCCACTGCTAATATCTGTACTGATATCAGCACATGGGTATCATTGTTAAAACAGTAGAGAGAAGTAAAATTTTTGTTTTTTTAACTTTCAGGTGGCGACCAAGCTAGAACAGATTATCAGTCACAAAAACAAAAACAAAACAAACAACAACAAAAAAAAAAACACCTTTTTTTGTGGACACTTCTATTTATATTTGTATTCTCAGGCCGACCTTACAGTATTCAAAATGCTTGATTTGCAACACGTGTGCATGCTACAGCTGCATGTACTTGTTTTAACCTCTTTTCCAGTTGTTATTTTGCTCTAAAAACATTGTTGATGACTATATAGCGACACAAAGGAGACTGCCTGCAGACATGCTTAAGCATTTTCCTTCTTTTGGTGTTTTGTGCTTTATATGAATGACTATAGCAAACATCTGTATATATGAAGAGCTACTTGCTCTACAGCTTTCCTAAATTGTAGTAGGGGGACACCTAGTGACGAAAAGTGGAACAAGAGAAAAAGTGACAAAAACATTAAAAAAAATTAAAATAAAGATCGTGTATATTTTGCAAAACTCCTCTCTGTGGACTATAGCCCTTCACCATTAGCAAATACTTTTTTTAGTAGCATTTTTTGTCACCATAAAAACAGAAAATAATTTTAGTCCAGCATCAGTGATTTCAAGTGATGTAAAGGTACGTTCTCCATAGATTTCTTCATAATAACCAGGTAGCAAGTCAAAACCAACTCATAATCACATTATGTTTTAAAACGAATGACTAGTGCCAATTATGATAATTTATTGTTATTTCAAGTTTTTCATTACCCTCAAAACCTCACTTTCAGTTATCCTTAGATTCTGGATATCTGCAGTGAAGATGACCTTGGCAGAGCCCAAACTAGGGTCAAAATCTCAGAGTCAGTCTTCTTGTCATGTTTATGAGTTTTGCTTCTGCTAAGTCACCTTGGATGTAGGGGCCTCCTTGCTCATAGTGCCACTTATATCTTGCTGAACAGTTTAAGATTGATAATTGTATTTGGCACAAAGGCTTGACAAAGAAGAGCAAACCTCAGAATAGGTTAGCTCCCCTAATTAAAATGTTAATAAATTAATAACTTTGTTATTTTATTATTACATTTTATTTAACTTTGTTAAATGATGTACGATGATACTTTGTCAGTTAGACTGAACATGCACATTTTTGTTGACTAGTCTTCAGATCCCCTCTCCACAAAATTATTGCGAATAAGTTCTCTTGCATGTTAGATCTAACAAAATAACACCATCTACCCTGACGTAATGAATATCACTATATACCTGGATTTTTTTTTTTGATTGGGTCAGCCCCCATGAAATACACAATATATTCAGAGCCTAGTTATATATAACAAAAATCGCTTTGTTACAAAATCGAGACACATTTTCCTGTTTTCTGGCTACTTATGTGTTAGGCTACCTAAAAATGATTGCAACTATCCATGTTGGACCCAACACCCTAGGCTAACCAAGCAGATTTATAATACCTGCTTACAGTGCTGCCGTGACCACCACTACATGGCTAAATCAAGAGGAACTATGCAAGGCAGAAGAAATTGAACTTTTAACATCATGCTAGACACTGGAGTAACTTACCAATTTTATCAACATGTTGCCATGGTACATCAGTATTATATGTGTTGTCCTCAGATTCTGAATATGTCTGCAAAAAGAACAATACATATATGGGTTGAGTAAAGAGAGAAAAAAAAAAAACAACCAACATTCCACAAAAAGTTCACTTTACATTTCTATAAACGAAGAGGGAATTGGTAATGAAGTTAAAACTTTAATTTGCCTATGGAAGGTTTTTGAAACATTTCAGGAGTACACAATTAGAGGGTACGTGTTATACAAGCTAATTCTGCAGGTTTTGGGTTGACATATCAATGTCTCAAGTTCACATTCTTTGCATAAGTACTAGACATATGCAGTAAGTTTCATTACAAATAAAGTTTTGTCCCAATTTGCTGACGTGGCAATTGTACAGCATCCGAGTTCACAAAAATGACAAAATATAAAATGAAAAGATCTGTAAAGAATTTAATCGTTTCTCAACCATTTGCTTTGATAAGGATAGCAAATTACGTAGACTACTACTAAGCAGCTGAAGGATCAAAAGAAAAGTGTTTTTCCTAATTTTGATGTTCCATCAGTTTATCAGATAATGTCCTAATCTGCTACAATGCAACTCTGTGACTGTCACATTCATCCGCCATAATGACTAATTGACATCCAAATTCATAAAACTAACAACATTTTTGTTTCATCCAAATCAATATTTTTTAAATTTCAGATGAAATTTAACTGGAAAATTAATAGGATACTATAGGCACTAAAACAACTTTAACTTAATTAAGAAAACAGAGGCATCTTAGCAAAAGTACATGGGTTAAGATAGGTGAACAAAAGATTTAGTGACATCAACACTCTAAAACAACATTGGTTTACACTGTTATTAGGTCACAAAAGGCTGTGATAAAATCACTTCTCTCCTGTTTAAAGGGACACTATAGTCACCAGAACAACTACAACTTATATAAGTATAGTCAGTCCCTGAAGGCAGTCTAGGTACACCTCCAGTGGCCACTCCTCAGATGGCTACTAGAGGTGCTTCCTGGGGCAGTTCTGCACAGTGTATATCACTGATATTCAGTGTCTCCACACTCTGCATGGAGACACTGAACTTTCCTCACAGAGATGCATTGATGCAATGCATCTCTATGATGAGATGCTGATTGGACAGGGTGGCATTTGGCTCCACCCCTGGCTGAGATCATCAGAATTGACAATCTCAGCCAATCCAATGCTTTCCTATAGGAAAGCATTGGATTGGCTGAGTTCATCACTTCTAAAGATGTCAGCCAAGGAGGCAGTTGAATCTAAAGGAACACTATATATTCAGAGTCAGCACCAGCAGATTGGAATAAAGTTAAGATTTTACTATATTTGGGGGGGGTAGATGGTGTTTTTAACACTATAATGTCAGGAATACATGCTTGAGTTCCTGACCCTATAGTGTTCCTTTAGATTCATAGTAGTCCTTAATTAATAAAATGTGGAACACTCTATTAGTACGGTAAGTAGACAGTTGCAGTTTTGTTACACTTACAAGCAATACCCACTACTAAAGTGTTTAGTTAGAATGTCTTAAAGGTTATTACAAAAGCCTTTAAGGTAGCAGTTCAGATTAAAAAATATGAATTAAAGACCTTGCATAAATATTTTTCCCTAATTTTAGTATTTATGGTCTTTTTTTTTTTTTAGAACTAAGGAGGCTCTTTTGACCTTGCATCATTTGATTTGTTGAAACGTGCAGAGGTTTTTTATTATACTATTACATGAGTAACCTAAATAAAAATGTCTCGTTTTTAATTAGTTGCCATTATTCTAATGTACAATGCCATATTTCTGAAATAAAGGCTAGATTGCCTTGGACTCTCCCCTTTTGCCAACAGTAAACGACAGTCATTCATAAAGTACATAAGGTTCTACACTGATCAGTCACAACATTAAAACCACTGATGGGTGAAGTGAATAGCATTGATTATATCATTACAGTGCCACCTGTCTAGCAGTGGGGTATATTATGCAGCAAGTGAACAGTCAGTTCTTGAATTTCCTGTGTAGGAAGCAAGAAAAATGGGCAAGCAAAAAGATCTGAGTGATTCTAACAAGGGCCAGATAGTGATGGCTAGATGACTGGGACAGAGCATCTCTAAAACAGCATTTCTTGTGGGGTGTAACTGGTATACTGTGCTTAGGACCTACCAACAGTAATGCAAGAAAGGACAATTTGCTACATATGGGGCTGGTCAGAGTGCCCATGATGACCCCTGTACACCCCCGAAAGCATCTTCAATGGAGACATGAGCATCAGAACTGGACCATTGAGCAATGGAAGAAGGTTGCTTGGTCTGATGAATTATGTTTTCTTTTAGATCAGGAGGATGACCGTATGCGTTTGTGTCGTTTAGCCTAGAGAAAAACATCCTGCTGCCACAGCAGGATGCACTATTGGAATAAGGCAGGCCGGCGGAAGCAGTGTTATGCTCTGCTGGGAAATCTTAAGTCCTGGCATTCATGTGGATGTTTTTTGACACGGAGATTGTTGCAGACCATGTCTATGGTGTTTCCTGATGGCAGAGGCTTCTCTCAGCAGGATAATGCACCCTGCCACGCTGCAAACATTGTTCAGGAATCCTTTGAGGAACTTGACAGAGTTCAAGGTGTTTCCTTTGCCCCCAAATTCCCCAGATCTCAAACCAATTGAGCATCTGTAGGATATGCTGGAGCAACAAATCTGATCCATAGATGCCCCCACTTCACAACTTGCTGGACTTAAAGGATCTGCTGCCAATGTCTTTGAGCCAGATGCCACAGGATATGTCTAGATGTCTTGTGGATAGGGGGCACTCCCAAGACCTGCATTTTGTATGAAAGGTGCTGCCGCAGTGACCAAACTTCATACATAAAACAATAAATAGTTGCAGCGCACTCAGACTACAAAACAAAATATAATACAAAGAAGGCTACTAAAATGCCTATCTGAGAATAAATATGGGGATTTAGTTCCACCATATGGCCATATGTTGTTAAGCCCACCACTACTTTCAAAGTACCCCACTTTTATTATTTTCTCTAGTCAGCACAGATATCATCTGCTATAATGAGTATACTCTTTTTAGCACTAACACATTATTTGTTTAGTTTTAACACTGTTTTTAATTGCTTTCATCACTCATTTTTGTATACTCACTATGCTCTTATCAAGATTTAATTTAACACTTGTAATTTTCAACACTAGTACTATTTAATTTGTTCCCCCACATTTTTAGCGTAGGACCCACCAATATTGGGGTACTTTGAAAGTAGTGGTGGGCTTAACAACATATGGCCATATGGTGGAACTAAATCCCCATATTTATTCTCAGATAGGCATTTTAGTAGCCTTCTTTGTATTATATATTGTTTTGTAGTCTGAGTGCGCTGCAACTATTTATTGTTTTATGTATGAAGTTTGGTCACTGCGGCTGCACCTTTCATACAAAATGCAGGTCTTGGGAGTGCCCCCTATCCTTTTTCTGTATAGATGTCTTGTGGAGTCCATGCCTCTATGCTTCAGAGCTGTTTTGGCAGCACAATGGGTACCTACACGATATTAGGCTTGTAGTTTTAATGTTGTGGCTGATAAGTGAATATGGTGGTGAACCAATCATCACACCCACTGACCCAGACATTTAATACATTTAACATCTCCATAGAGGAGGGCTGTAGTAGTTATGGAGTGTAACAGTGTCTACTTTATCAATAAAATATGAATTGCTTTACTGAAGTATTTGTTCATTGCATGATAGATTATTGTTTGAAGGAGCATGCTAAACACCTTATCCACTACAGATCACTTTAGTGGTGAATGTGGTCACCACAGTTTGTGTGTCATCATTTAACCAGATTGAAAAAAATAAAACTAAATTAAATTTTATCTTAACATTTTTTTTACTTTAACCAGTGCCTTAAGTTTCTCCTCCATGGCTAGCAGTGATGGTAATTGCAGGCCAAGCGTGCTGGTGGAAGCTTCTCCCACACCCTCTTTGCACCATAATAAGTTTCCATACAGATAGAAAGAGAAATTTACCTTTTCTCGTGAGCCGTAGCGATCTGCATACCACACCATGCCATACAGGCACAAAAACGTAGTAATAGCCTACAAGGAAGATTAACCGTAAAATTAACACAAATAATGCTCTTTGTATTAAAAGACAAATGTTAAAGAAAAATCATATTTAGCATTTATGGAAATCATATTATTTCAATTAGACTTGGATAAATTAAACAATTATGTTAAATTAAACAATTCTAAAATCAATCTCATCTTGCAAAATTACAGATACAGCGATTACCAGGAATGTTATTCTGATAAAATCGCTTAAAACTAATTTTTGCAAATGTCTAATTTGGTTAGGTGGCGTCGGAGAATTCCAGCTGGTGTAAACGTGGGTCATGGAAGATTTGTAGGTCTACAGAGGACTTTAGGAACAAAACAGCCAAACAAGATCAAAACAATTCTGTGGCAAAAGGCACAAATAGAAAGGTCCGGTCTTAAAGGAACACCTCAAACACTGAAAGCACTTTAGCTTGCTGAAGACTTCTCGTTGAGCTGCATTGGGAAGTCTGTGATTGGATAGCCACATAAAGTCTAGGCTGAGGATAAAGGGGAGGGCTTGCAAAAGAGATATGCAGCTTTGTGCAAGCTGTTTTAAGATATACCCCCTATAAAAAAAAAATGCATAATTAAATACATGCATGTTTTCATTGGTGTAGATCTATTATATATATATATATATATATATATTTTTTAATTTGGGCAGTGGAGTGTCCCTTTAAGAAAAGAAGCTGGTTAGCCAAAGAGGAACAGCTGTGAGCAGAATCAGATTTCAGGTCATAGATTCAAGTTGCAGAGTCTGCAACAACACACACCAAGCTAGTGACCTTGAGAGGTACTGAAAACCTGGCGGGTTCCTAGGGGAGAATGAAACACTTGCATATTATTTAACCCCCCACTCCACACACAAAATGGCGTCTGCGTCCCAGTATGGTAGTAGTACACTGAATATTTGTTGGCTAACAGACAATAATACACAGCAGCTATTATGATAGAGGGTTCTGGGAAATTACATAATGTGCTAATGTAAGGATAAATATGACTGAATAAAGTTTCATCTCTTTTCCACAAGGTACATTATTCAATCTTTACTAGGAGGTCACAGAAAAAAAAAAGACTTTGGATGTTACAATCAGCAAAGTGTAAAACTCCCACAGGCCCACATTTAAAGCATGTGTATTGTAAATTATAAAAAAAGATTGTCTACTTACAACGCAGAGAAGCCAAAGTACCACATACAGCATGTGTGTCTTGGAGAAGAGATCTTGACCAAACTTTATACATACGAGTGCTTCAAGGAAGGCAATTGCACTGTACAGAAACAAAACAAAGATAATGTTACATTTTATTAGGATGTTCTGACTGTTCTTTTACTGTAGTAGTTATGGTACCATCAGTGCCCTGGAGCCCTTCCTGTGAAAGAAACCGAACTGTTTAAGAATTGCCTCAGGAACCAACATCATACAAGAAACAGAGCAGCTGCACTCCTGGGTAAGTTAAACTGGAAAGAGGGATGGTGATTTTTTTCCCTCCATATTTTCTTATAAATTATTGTTCCATCCATGCGCAGAAAATCAAACCCAAACAGGACGCGGTAATAAATTAAATGTAAAAATAACAAAACAAAGGGGACAGGCAAGTAGAAGAATGACAAATTGGATGATGAAATAAAGAACATATAATTTGGAATGGGCATGGAAACATAAGTAACGCTGCCTGTTTTGTTTAGAAATCATAACTGGTTTGGATTAAGATTCCCATTTATAGTTCATTAACCTCCAACAATTTGCATGTAAATGTGTGACATTAGCTGCAACGCATTTATAGACTCCATAGTTAGATCAATTTATGTAAGACATAAACCCTTATAGGAGGACGGTGTATGCAATATCAGAAACACAGCATGGGAGCATTCTCTAGGGCACGGATAGGCAACCTTGGGCACTCCAGATGTTTTGGACTATATCTTAACAGCCATAATGCTAGCAAAGCATCAAGGGAGATGTAGTCCACAACATCTGGGGTGCCAAGTGTTGCCTATCTCTGCTAGGGGTTTGATCCATGTTTATTGGGCAGCATTACGTGATTCCTGTACATATTTGCAGCAGCAATTTGTGCCCGTGCCACTTTAGGTTAATGGCCCTCTGCTGGAACTAAAGTCATGTGCAATTTTAAACCCGCTTGAGATAATAAAATGTACTGTGTTTCAAGGTGCTAAGTAAAAAAGCCATTACACCATCACCACCTTTCTTTATTAACACAAAAAGATCTGGCAGATAACCATTTTATAGAGAATGTTTATTTTTGGTATTTGTGACCTTGCCAATGAGTCTGGATATTCTATTCAGATTTCTCGAACAATCAGTGTTTTCTCAAACTGAGGTTCAGTGTCTTTTTGTTTAACAGGACCATTCTACGTAAACTAAAGCCTTGTATTAACGGATTGTAAACAATTTGACAAAAACCAGGAGGAGCTGTAGTGGTTATGATATTTAGAGCAACCCTTTAACACACGGTCTCTCCAGTGTTTTCTTCAACTATCCTGGTTTTTACTCTATTAAAAGTTATGTTATCAACAATTGAAATATGTTACAGCTCATTGGACGATCTTAAAAATTGCATATGTGCTTTATAAATAAAATAGTACTTAATAAAGTATGATTCTAGGAGTCTGCCAAGTATAGACTACCATGCTAAGATATTAGATCTAACACAAGCTGAGAAAACAAATAAAAGCATGCTTGAATATTGGGGTCTATGTTACACAGCATTTCTTTCATTAAAGGGAAACAAAAATAAATTACAGCTTTGTATGGAAGATATTTAGCATAAATGATAATGTTCCCAGTTTTTACAGAGTAAAAAAAAACAAAACAATAAATAACTGGAGTATTAAAATACACCAATAATTCAGGAGATGGTGCAAAAAAAAAAGAAAATCTGTGCAGTCACTTAGGAAAATTAAATGTCTAATATGTAGGAAAAGCAGCATGAGTTATAAAAAGTTCCAAAAGAAGCAAAATAACTCCCACCATTGAGAAATAAATAAATAAAAAAATATTGAAAACATGGAACACTAACTAGTAGAGTGAAGGTATCAGTCTTTGATTTCTACATAAGTGTATACAAGTTGTGCCAATCTAGAAAAGCGCATTTCATAGGACATTCAAACTAATGTAAATCATAGCTCACCGTTTAAACAATTTAACAGATGTTTTTAAGCAGGACTAGTTTTAAAGATTGGTCACAGTATGTCAAAGTCAGTACGCAAGCAGGATATCTTTTACCAAGAAACGTGACAAACTGGTCTAGAATAGGAGAACTTCAGGTCAAGATCCCAAACTGGCAGAAAGAATTTAAAGAACGGATTGAATCTCCATGCTTATATCGGAACCAGGGCAAGGATAGATTAGATAGAGGAGATGAAGCGCTGCCATCGTGTGATCTTAAAAGTTCTTCACCGTTGCCTTAAAGTAAAGGTAGGCATCCTGTGACCCTCCAGTCATTATCAATCTAGAACATCCATAATCCAGTTGTTTGAATACTGTTGCAGGATGCCTTCCCCAGCTTTAGAGGATGCAATGCAACTGGGAGCTACATGCAAAGAGCCAGACTCCTCCAGCATGGTCCTTACCTGGCTAACACGCATATCGCTAGTTATATGTCCATTATTAAGTCATCTGATGCCATATTGGCAACACAGTGGAAGAGAGAAAATAATGATAAAATTAAGCAGCATAAAGGAAGACTGGGACACATTTGGCATCTCAAATAAAAGGAACTAGTTATTACTATTACTCATGAATATTATTATTCATTCCATCCACTATACATCTTGAAATGTAATGTTTTCCTTATAGCACAATGAAACAATAAAAATGGTTATTACAATGTTACAGTGGTTTTATATCAGGAGGTTTTCCCGTCATGTCCTCTAGACTGTAAGCAGGATACTCATCTACCCATTGTTCCTGTATCATTTTGTAAATGTCTGATTTATTGTTAAATATCCCCCATTCATAATATTGTAAAGCGGTGCGGAATAAGTTGGAGCTATATAAATCCCAATAATAATGTACAGTTCACTTTTTAACTTAATTCAATGTTTTAAATATGAATGTCATACTACATATAAACTTTATCTTTCAGTATTTATGTGAACCTTCTCATCATCTTCTCTAATCATAGGAAAACCTAATTTTATTGTCTGTACATTTACGCAATCCTTGCGATGTCACGCCATTCTTAGAATCTGTTCGAGAGACGTGATGAAAACCTACTCTTGCCCTCACAAAATGTTAGAATTATACTGTGTTTTGGCATGAATGAGCCATACAGAGAAGAAACGTGGTTTACAAAATGTGCCCCATATATTTGGTGGCTGATGATAGCAGGCTACTTATTGAAAGGAGAGTTGGGTTCATCAAGTTCATCTTTTCACACGTGCTTCTGCTGATCCAAAAAAAAAAAAAAAAATAGCCAATCAAAATGCTATCCCGCTTGTGCCACAAAACGGGAAAAATTCTTATGGACTCCAAAATTGCAGTTAGATTTATCCTTGGAGCAATAAGCGGTTTCCAAAATACAAGTTTTTAAAAATAACAAAACCCCCATTTAAAAAAATCTGTTCATATTCAAGTATAAATTTCCATTACCCATTTGATTAATTTGCTAACAAGTCTGCCAGCACAGTATTTGGATGAAAGAAACAGTCTTTAAATTTAAGACTAATGTTTTACTAACCATGATAGAGCACTTATAAATAAATATACTACATTTCTTGAGGAACCCATTTCCTGATTATTGATCTAGCTGTGCTGGATATATGGATATCTCAAAACTTACATCTTTAAATTAGTTTATTTTCTTTTAACTTCCATGGCGTATTCAACGTTTCCCTTTAAAGTCTGAGCAATATTTTTATCCAGGTAATGTTTCATGGGCCACTGCGGCAAAATATTCAATTTGTGTAATATTGGAGTTACCACAACACAAATGATTAAATCATTCTAAAAGTTTAGTCAAAAATATGAAATAATTTGGAAATCTTAATCAAACAACATTAAATTGAGGACATACTGTTTAAATCTTAATGGCAACCTGAAAAAACACAGTTTATTTCCTTTATAAACTGCATAATTTATTTAGTTACATTCTACATTAATCTCCTGGCATATTTTCATGTTACTGGAAGACTAAACATTATTATCTTGTAGACTAGCTCGAAGTACAGAAAAAATGTAATAGTGGAAAGGTCTGTTTTTTTTTCCCACGATCACTTTGAAACTGAGTAAAATTAAAGGAACAGACAGACATTCATGATTGGTCATAGGCACCCTCATTGAAATGGTCTGGGTGCATTGTCCCCATCACTTTAACCCTGCAGCTGAAACATTGCAGTTTATAGAAACTGCAAAGATTTCATTGCAGGTTTAATACTGAAGGGCGATCACACGTATGGCACTCGCCACGCATGTACATTATGTTTCCCCTTACCAGTGACATCGCAGGAGGTGGAGACTGAAGGATCCCAGCGCAAAAAAAAAAAAAAAAGGCAAGTGAAAAAAATAGTTTAATCCTTTGATAGCCACCGGGGGTTGGGGGCACAAGGGCAGAGGGACACTATAGTGTTTGGAGTACAGCTTTATATTCCTAACAATAGAGTGTCCCTTTAATTTGCTGAATATAATAGTTTGTGCAATACTTTAAATCCTTGAAGGAAAAAAAAAAGAAAAAAAGTTAAATCTTAGAAATAACAAATATCTGTAAAAAGAAAAAAAAAAGGAACTAAACTTAAAATAAAATACATTTGGCAGTGTTCAGAAAGATTACTATTAATCTATTACAATGGTTGGATATGTTATTTACCGCTTTTTGGATTGGATTTAGTACTCTAGCTGTTGTAGACTACATTTTCTAAATGGTTAGTTGGCCATTACAGATAATGCAGTCTATGTATGTTGAGAGTATCAACGATTAACTCCCACGGTCTTTGACTGAACACAGCACAGAATATCCAATTATTCTGCCCTGACAATATGCGGTGGGTATGCCAATCACACCATTTCATCCAGTACAGGAATCACAAAAGTAGCAGAGGGTTATGTATAGTGCTATATATGCAAGCCAGTGGAAGGTTCTTGCAAATGGGACATCTTTTATTTAAAATTGCACTGTATAGCGAAACACAGTTGACGTAAGTTATGAAATATAGTTGTATGTACTTACCCAAACACCCAGCACTGAGTGCCGACCCTTTTGCATTGCGTGTCTGTGAGATAGGCGTAGTATTGTCTACAAAAAAAAAAAAAAGAGAATAAAAAAATTAAATAAGGATTTTTTAAATATGCTATTTTTCACTTGCCATATTAATGAGAAGACTTGGCAAGAAATTCCCAGGAATATTTTGTTTATGTGAAGATGGTGACTACTGAAAAGTGAAACTGGCACTTGTCTGTGAATTACATTACTGAATAAAACATTGAAAAACAGCCATCACTTGAACAATTTTTTTTCCATGTGATGGTTAGCTTTACTTTAAAGCAGACTACCCCAAACTCCGGCCCTCCAGATGTTGCTGAACTACAACTCCCATAATTCTCAGCCTATTTCATTCATAGAATAATGGGAGCTGTAGTTCAGCAACTATAGGGGCGGAGTTTGGGGAAGCCTGCTTTAACCCCTTAAGGACCAAACTTCTGGAATAAAAGGGAATCATGACATGTCACACACGATGTGTCCTTAAGGGATTAAAGTCATGTTTAAGTTTTAGTAAGCAACACCACAATCCAGCTCAGTTATTGAACAGGTTACACTGGAGTAAAATTTTTCTTTCTGTATCTCCTTCTTCCCTTACTATGGTTCCTCCTGGTGTAAGAAATCAAAATGGAGGAGCTCGGTTCCACGAAATTGGTAAATGCAACAGTGTTGAATTTCTACATTTAACTTTTTTTTTTAAACCCAACAAAAGCACTTATAAAGTAAACATGTGGCTAAATAAAAAAAAAATTTTTTTGTTTGTTTTTAATGTTTTTATTAGAAGCAAGAAGCAGATTTAAGTATTCAAATAAACATACAAAGTTTATAGGATACATTGCATGTGTCATTTTCTTTGAATTGCTCTATAGTTAGAGTCACTCAGTGCTGTTATGGGCTAAGCCAGCGGTTCCCAAACTGCGACGGGCACACTGGGGCGACGCAAGATAATTTCCTGGTGCTATAATCATAGCACTGGGAACTGTGCTCTCCCCTGACAGCTCTGCAGGACCGGAGGGGAGATCAGAGATCTTCCTCTCTGGCCCGCTCGCAGTATACTGCTGATAGCTGGCAGGGGAGGGGAGGGAGAAAGGACCTGGGAGAGCTCTAACCTGCAGCTCCGCCAGGTTCTCTTCTTTTTACCGCGGCAACGCTCCAAATCTCGGGAAAGTGAACTCTAGCAGCTCCTGAGGCTGCTAGAGATCACTCCCCCCACTTGGACCACCAGTGATTAGTACTGTCCCCCCTCCCAGGCAAAAGTAAGCAGGGAGGGAGGGGGATGGGGTATCATTTTTATTTGTAATATAAAAAAATAAAAAAAGGTAAAAAAAATAAAATAAAAAAGATATAATCTGGCCTCCCTCCTACCCCCACAGACCCCACATCACACAATAACACCCCCATACACACACACACACCCCACACACACACCCACCCCCACACACACACCCACTTCCCCCACACACACACACACCCACACACACACACCCCTTCCACACACACACACTTCCCCCCCACACACACACACCTTCCCACACACACACAACCTTCCCCCACACACACACACACACACACACACAACCTTCCCCACACACACACACAACCCCCCACACACACACTTCCCCCACACACACACACACACACACACACACAACCTTCCCCCCACACACACACAACCTTCCCCCACACACACACACACCCCCACACACCCACACACACACAACCTTCCCCACACACACACACACACACACACCTTCCCCCCACACACACACACACACACAACCTTCCCCCACACACACACACACACACAACCCCACCACACACACACACACACAACCTTCACACACACACACACAACCTTCCCCCCACACACACACACCCTTCCCCCACACACACACACCTTCCCCCCACACACACACACACACACACACACAACCTTCCCCCCACACACACACAACCTTTCCCCCTTCACACACAACACACTTCCCCCCCACACACACACAACCTCCCCCCACACACACACAACCTCCCCTCCCCACACACACAACCTCCCCCCCACACACACACAACCTCCCCCCACACACACACACACACACACCTCCCCCCCCACACACACACCTCCTCCCCCCACACACACACCTCCCCCCCACACACACACCTCCCCCCACACACACACACACACACACACACACACAACACTCCCCCCCCACACACACACACAACCTCCCCCCACACACACACACACTTCCCCCACACACACACACACACACCTTCCCCCCCCACACACACACACACACACAACCTCCCCACACACACACACACACACACACTCCCCCACACACACACACACACACCTCCCCCCACACACACACACACACACACAACCTTCCCCCCACACACACACACACACACACCCCCCCACACACACACACAACCTTCCCCCCACACACACACACAACCTTTCCCACACACACACCCTTCCCCACACACAGTACCCGTCACACAACCTGCACCCCCACACACACATTGCACCCCTAATGCAACCTGCCCCCCCACACACACACACTGTACCCGTCACACAACCTGCACCCCCACACACTGCACACCTCACGCACAAACCTCCCCACACACACACAAAAACTACATCTTTCACAAACACAATGCACCCCTGTACACACACTGCACCACACACTACAGCCCCTATCCCGGTAGACCCCAGGTAAGTTGTCAAATTGTTCTTAAACAGTTTGACTACTTACACTGGGAGGGCACTACTGGCACCATAACCAGTACAATGTAATGAAGTAGTTATTGTGGCTGGATTGTTTCTTTAGATAATCTACCAGTGCCACTCCCAAGATTAGGGGCCCAGTATATGCCACAGCGATACATATATACAACCTAAAAAAAAATTTGACTTGCGGTGCCTTGGAAAAATATTGAAATATTAAAAGCGCCTTGAACCTAAAAAGTTTGGGAACCACTGAGCTAAGCTTTTCCTGGAGTGAATGGGATGGGGGACGGGTAAAAAGGAAGGCTTATGGTGTAACATTCAGCAAAACATGTATTTTTTTTGTGCGAAAAATACAGTATATTAATGAGACCAAAATCTATCAAACACATTAAAGTTGTGTTGGTGAATGTTCATATTGGTCGCTCCCAGTTTTAGAACCTTGCCTAGAATCATTTTTTTCTAAAGGAGCACTTAAGCACCATAACCACTGCAGCACACTGTAGTGGTGATAATGTGCCAGTAGTCCTGTGGTGTGCTCCACCTCTAGCAAGCAGTAGTGGTTATGGTGCTTGGAATGTTAAGCATAACCCTCAAATTTACAGGTTCCTGCTAGTTTCCAGAAAATAATTATAATTCCCCTCTATTGAGCTTTACAACAGGGGAGGGCTGGAGACATTTTTCGTGGGAAGGCAAGTACAAATGAATGGCCTTTATTTACCGCTCACAAAACTCACAGATATCATTGTAGATAGTCCTACTTAGACGAGGCATGACATTTATGGGTTTAAAGGATGGAGGCTGCTGGAGTTGTAACATTATATTCCTCCAATTTCAATCAGTATGACCTGTACTGCGTGATGGAGCATTTACAGGGATTTATGCATGCCCAGGGTGATACACGCTCTGTTTCCCATTACTTTTCTCCAACCAATGGTATCGGTTCACTTTCAAACACACATACCATGCATGCATGTCTTCAACTCCGGACAGGTCACCAGCCAATGCACAAAGCCATATAGTGACGGGCTGGCAAACTCCCAGGACAAACCCTGATTGATGCATCACTCCTGCAGAACTTAGTGTGGAATACAACAGATATTCCAATGCACCTTCTTTATGTAAAATTTCTGAAGAATGGTTTGAGCCTGCAGCCCACAAGCTCTACAGCATACATTTTATATTTACACTGTAAGACTAAGTATTATTAGCAACCTCTACGGGATCTTTGAAGCTTGGCAGATAAATGCAAAATATTTACTGTATGGCTCATTATAGATCATTTGGCAATAACAAAGCCAGGCAATTTTTGTCATTATAATTCATCATCTCTGTTTGACTGCTTTGCAGAACTTTCTACTAATGCCCCCTTTCAAGCAGCTCTCATTACCAGTAAAGCATTTTAAAAAACGTTTTATTTATATTCCTTAAATAGGACGTACACTAAAATAGAAGTACATTATGTATGCATGTGTATATGTATTTATATATTCAGTCACAGCGAATAGGGTTGATGGATGCGCCCAGTGCTGCACCAGCCAGACAAGCCCTGGAACACCTTTACTTACAATACTATTGAGGAATTTGGCTGATCCTAAAATTACATTATTATCCTGAATATTATAAGTCACTGTTGGAGAATATTATGCTGAAAACACGCTAGTTAAGCCAGCATTTGTTACATTTAAATATAGATCGGAAAAAAAATAAAAGCTTTAATAAGAGAGCATGCAAAAAAAAAAGCTGTTATACAAGTATGTAACATCACAATAGAAAACAAGCAGTCCCATTGAGGCATACCATGAAAACTTGCCTTGCTATTTATTTGGAAAATATTGGTTTTCCTGCCAGCCTGTCAGAAGAGTCATTTGGAAAGAATAGACTGGGAATCATAGCCCTGCGTTCCCAAAGTTATGTCTAATAAACACCTTCCTGGTTTGCAAGAACAAGATCTCTGAAACGTAAGTTGTCAGTTCTTGATTCTAGTTGCTCTGCAACCAGGGCCGTCTTTAATTCTGATTGGACCCTGGGCAAGCATTAACTTGGGCCCCCTGACTACATATAGATACACACAAATACAAAACCTGACACACATGCAGATACACACTGACCGCATATAGATACACACAAGAACATACAGATACACACAGACTACATATAGAACACTGACACACAGACACAAACACAGATACACAACCTGACAAACATGCAGATACACAGATACAAACACTGATACATGCAGATACAAAGGTACACACACTGACTACATATAGATACACCAACACACACACTGACACACATACAGACACACAGATACACACATACAAACACGGACACATACAGATACACACTGACTATATATAGATACACACACAAACGGACAACATACAGATACAAAGGCACATTCTGACAGACGTACTGACACAGAGACACACACAGACAGCCATACTGAAACACACATACACACAGACATACAGAACCACATGGACACTGACAGACTCACACACTGACAGACATACAGACACACACATACAGACATTTTGACACTCACAGACAGCCATACTGAAACACACATACACACATACATACTGAACCACACAGACACTGACCGACACACACACACACAGACATACTGGCATATATACACACAGACGGACATACTGAAACACACATACACACAGACATATTGACAAACACAGACATACAGAACCACACACAGACATACTGGCACACTGACAGACAGACATACATACTCACACACACACAGACACTCATGCAAAATTTGATAACCACCCTCCAGTTTCTTACCTTTTCCTGGAGGGTGGCTTCCCTGGGGTCTAGTGGGGTGGCTTGGAATTAAGCTCTCCCGGCCTGGCCCCCTCCGGAACAGCTCCTTCCTCCCGGGCGGCTCCTGTTTCTGTGGGAAGAAGTGACGCGCGGCTGTCACTTCCTCCCAGTGCTGCCGAAAAAGCAAGGGCCCGGTCGCGCTGTTAAAGCGCCACAGCGCCCGACCGGGCCCCTGCCGACACAGGCCCACCGGGTGGCCCTAAGGGCATGGGCCACCCGATGGGCCCCCATAGTTTGCGGGCAGAGGGCAAAAGGAGCAGCTGTCTTGGGCCCCCAGCTGGGACAGGGCCCGGGGCAGCTGCCCCGTTTGCCCTGCGTTAAAGACGGCCCTGTCTGCAACTAAATCCTGCTACATGCTACACTCTGTGTACTATCAAGATAAGAATCCATAGTTTGATGAGCTAAAAATATACGCTGTGGGTCCTGGGTGAAAAAGGCACTACATACAGATGGCATTTTTTGTATAAAGTAACAGAGGGTGCCAATTAAAAAAGGTGGGCACTAACCAGATTTCTACCAAATGCAAAACAGCATTAGTCATTGATAATGCAACCACAGTGATGTACACTATCAAGGTTATTCACTGAAGTGAGAATTCAAAGTGAATTTCAGATTTAAGGTAAAAAAAAAACAGAAATTTTAAAAATTCTCAATAAGCTATGCTTTCATGTAGTCAGTCTGCATTCACCTTAAAATGTGATATTCATTTGAAGGTCTCGCTTTAGTAAATAGCCCTCCACGAATCAATATATTTCAAAGAACAAAACACAATGAACTACAAAATAAACAAACATTTTGGGAATATTGGGAACATAAGACCCAAGGTACAGCATGCTAAAAATTCTAACCAATTCATAATGTAAAACATACATTATGTGCTGAAATGCAAGCTTCCTGAAAATATTCATTTATTCAGTCCTTCCAAAGCTGAACAAGATTTATTACCTGACAGTAGGGGCTGTTATCACTCCGATGAAAAGAATCCGACACCAGCTCAGTGCGTGACTAGCTTGGAATACAAAGATATGTTTTAAGAAGAATGTATTCAGCTCCGTCAGCTAGAAGTGGGAAAAAGGAAAACCATGCCATTAAGCTCTAGCAAAAGCCAATTCCAACCAAAATGTACAATTATTTTATACATTCAAATTATTATATACTCACACATATTCAAATAACACTCATATACATACACACCATAATAATGTGACTATCTCACAGCATGGATTCCAGATGATGCATGCCGTCACACTGACATTTCTCACTTCCTGCACATTTGTCATCTACATATTAATGGTACAAAACGCCTGTTAATCTCCATCTCAAATGTGCTCTATTAAGTTAAACCGGTTTCTGTTCGTTGACCAGGCTGAGATGCATGCTTTGAGACATAATGCTTTATCCCGTTGGAAGCATCCATTCAAAAACAAAAACAGTGTCAAATGACGATCAGCTGGCAATGAAGCATTCCCTCACATCACTACCAGCCTGCACATTCAACACATGGCATGATGGGTCCATAGAGTCATACAGTCTATACCACATTCTGAACATACACTCTGCCGGTCACAGTACTGAAATAGTGTTGAGACCAGGCAAGATGTCCAGTTTTCAATCATCCAGTTTTGGTGACCCTGCCATGCAGAATACTATAGCCAACGAAGTAAACAAACAAAATCATAGCAAGAAGATGCTTATTAAAATGTAATCTCTTCATGAATGTAAAGGCACGTAGTTAATGATTCAAGATCGAAATTCAATTCTGCAGCATAAACTATGGCAGGAAGCGAGTCAAGCAGCAAGGATGCCACGTGACAATTCATCTTGCCTTGTGAGCTCAAACAAAAACTGTGGAATGTAGATTTCTCACTGAACAGACTCTCCAGAAAAATGTCTCTTGGGAAAGGTAAACTGATCAACCACAACATTAAAACTCCCTGCTAAATGTTGTGTAGGTCTCCCTTATGCTGCCTAAAACAGTTCTGATGCATTGAAGCATGGACTCCACAAGACCAAAGTTTGCAATGAGGTAGGGTGACAGACTGCTGAAAGAGACCACTGCCATCCGTGAACACCATTGCCATGAAGGAGTGTACGTGGTTTGCAACAATCTCTAGGTAGGTGACACGTGTCAAAGTAACATCCACATGAATACCAGAACCCAAGGTTTCCTACCAGAATATTGCCCACCCCAAATCACTGCCTCAGCCAGCCAGCCTTCTTCCCACAGCGCACCCATGTCTTCCCCAGTTAAATTATGCACATTTACCTGGCCACCCACCTGATCTAAAAGAAAACGTGACTCATCAGACCAGGCAACCTTCTTTCATTGCTTGATCGTCCAGTACGGACACTCACGTTTCTATTGAGGCGCTTTCAGCAGTGGACAGGGATCATCATGGGCACTCTGAGCCGTCTGCAGCTATGCAGTCCCATATGCAGCAAAGTGCTATGCACTGTGTGTTCGGACACCTTTCGATCATGGCCAGCATTAAGTTTTTCAGCGATTTGAGCTACAGAAGCTCTTCTGTTTAATTGGAATACACAAGCTAGCCTTTGCTCCCCATGTGCATCACTGACCCGGATGCTGGCTCACTGGTTGTCCTTCACTTTTAGTAGGTACTAACCACTGAACACCAGGAACACCCACAAGACATTGGGGAGATGCTCTTACCCAGTTGTCTAGCCATCACTCTTTACCTGTTGTCAAAGTCATTTAGATCTTTTTGCTTGCCCATTTTTCCTGCTTCCAACACATTAAATTTTTACTGTTCACTTGCTGCCATCGTAAAAATATAATCAATAGTATTCACTTCACCTGTCAGTGGTTTTAATGTTGTGGCTGATCAGTGTATATGTATCTTTACATTTATGCTCAGTAGATTGTTCAATACATTCGATAACAATTTTACCATTACAGGGTAATATTTAGAATTATAAAATTACTACTTGGACATATATGTCCCACTTACCTGCCAAATTATCATGAAAAGATAGACACCAGCAACTCTTTGAAATGAAGACTTGGGATCAAACCACCTGACATAGATCCAGTTTACTGGAGTGAATTGCAATACTGCTCGCTTTATTTTCCCGGTGGTGGTGTGAATGTCCCTTTAGAGAGGCAAAACATATATAAATTAATAAAAAGGTTGTTCTAAGAAAATATAAATAATGAAACAGAATGTTCGGAGAAAATAGAATTTGTTCAAAACTTGTATTTTATTTATATTGCAGTACCTATAAATATTCCCATAACACAAGGCATAATTATTTATTCATGATTTATGTTTAAGATGCTGTGAAGCTATTTTTTTCTATTCAAGGCAATATAATTAAGCAGTTACTAAAAGTATAAAAAAAAAAAAAAAAATAGGAAACATTTTTCTTCCATATTTATTGGAGATAGCAGTGAAAGTACACATTTGTGTGTTTGGAGGAAAATATATATTTTTTTAATGCAGCGTTACTTTTAAAGATGGTCTTTGAGTGGCACTTACCTAAACAACTTTGGCCCAAATCAAACTGCTGAGCAGTGCTCACGTTTGATAAGGAGCTTTTTTGAAAAAAAAATAAAAAAACTTTTTAAACATCTGCTACACAAACACGCAGATCTGAAAATCCCAGAGTGCCATGCAATGTTTGCAAATGAGCACAAACATAGCGGTGACTTTTTTTTTTTTTTTTTTTTAACGCTTTATTATGTTATGATTTATATAGCGCCAACAAATTTCGCAGTGCTTTACAGTAGGTGAACGAACAAGCATGTAGTTTTCATGACTTTTCAGACTACATTTCTATAGCTTCTAGTAGCAATAGACTACTACGTAATATGTAGCTTTATTTAAACCCATTCATGTTATGATTTAAAAAGACTAACACTAAATCGAGAAAATTAAGTGAATTCAAAGTCAATTCCACATTTAAGTCAGAAATAGCCAAATTGGAAGCATGGCTGACTTACAGAATGTGTCCATTTTGGGCTGCTTCTGCCTTAAGTGGACACTATAATCACCAGAACCACTGCAGCTTAAATGTAGTGGATATGGCGTCTATATCCTGTCCCTGCAAGCTTTTTAATGTAGACACTGCCTTTTCACGGAGTGCCACTCACTCAGACGGCCACTAGAGGTACAGTGTGCAGCACTGGCATTCAGCGCCTCCATGCAGAGCATGTTCCTTTATAGAGCAGTGTTAATTCAATGAATATTCACAAGAAGATTCTTTCCTATAGGAAAGCATTGGATTAATAAAGATCATCAAGTTTAATGATCTCAGCCATGGAGGCAGAACTCGCCACGGTGAGACCGGAGCGCCATGGGAGAAAAGATGGGCAAAATAACCTTTTCACAGAGATCGAAGGGCCGGTCACCTAAATAGTTGGTTTAACACATGTATGTGTTCCTGACACTACAATGTTACTTAGAATTTGCATTTTAGTGAATAACCCTATAATAATCAGTCATTTCACTCCGGTTCATTGTTGGAAATCTCTGAAATCATCAAGCATGATGTTTATTTTGTGTTCATTTTAATAATTTGATTCTTTATGTAAGTTAATTATAATTGCATCGTTTGGGATAGAATTATTAATCCAGTGATGTTATTGGAAAACAAAAATTAGCACATACCACATGCTATAAAATGTACATGACATTTAGAACACAGTAATTTGATCAGTCCAAGAAATCCAAAGCTGTATTAATAATTGCGTATCAACTTACTTAAAACTTGCCCAGTGATAACTTCTCATCTCCAAAAAGCGACAAACGATCATACCAAGAAAAATGCCACCTCCATTGCATAAGAGAATGTCCAGAATCACTTGATCCCACCAACACTCGGCAAAGTTGGGAAGAAGATGCATGAAAAACAGCTAACATGAAAGAGAATATATGTTACTAAACAGAGGTACATGGAGGAAATGTGTCCTAAACCAGGACATCTACAAAAATGTAAACCTTGAGGAAAGACAAAGTTCCGTGACTAATCATAAGCGCGTTTGAGTAGGGTCCTCATCAACCTATTGTTCCTGTAACATTTTGTAATTGTCTCATTTATTGTTAAATTTGTCCCTTAATAATTTGGTGCTACATAAATGCCAATAATAATAATAGTAATAATAATAATAATAATAATAGTAATAATAATAGTAATAATAATAATAATAATAAGGATGTTCTCAGCTGCATTACAGCTGAAAAAGTATACAAACAAATTTAATTCACGCTAGCAGTCACCTTCCATGGTTTTTAATGTTTACTTATCTCCTATATTTTGCAATTATATTTTTATGTAGAATTTCCCTCATTTGCCTTGAATGACAATCAACATTATAAAAGGTTGCCCTTTATTATTGCAAGGGGAGAAATTGACACAATGTTTCTGTTGTCCTCCTCATTTTCATTGGGTGCCCTTACTGTGCCTAGACTGAACTGGATTGTGATATCACTTGCTAAATCTTTATTATACAGTACAAAAAAAAAAAAAAAGCCCATGGAGCATTATGTGAAAAGTATGTTAAGGACGTGTTTTTCAATATTTTATTCAATAGTGTAACTTCTAGAGAGGTAATAGGTCTGATTTAATACAATTACTATTTTTCAGGTGTCCTACTGCTACTTCGTGCCCTGAAAGGATGTGAGATGAAGTAGGGCCTTTACGGAAAAAAAAAATTAATCAGAAAGGACCATGATCTACAGTAAATATTTCTGATTCTGTGGTATTTCTTGCAGTGGGGAATTTAACATATGCCCAAACTGTGAGAAAAATCACATTTTTCATTTGCCACAAGAGTTTTATGTAGATTTGAAATTTGTATTTTGTGTATAATTTAATACCACTATTGGTTACCACTGATTTTCTATGTATATTTTGACCAGTGACAAGAGTTAAAGTCTCTACTCTTCCACACATAGGTATCACATAAGAAATATCATAAATGTATACGAACTGAAGCAGAGTTTCGAGGAAAAACATTTAACAAGAAGAACTATGGTTTAATTATTGGAAGCTAGCATATCCATCAGCTCTATATAAAATTAGATTAAAATACATGGATACGGTGATGCACATTGATGTGCTCATAGCTAAGAGACAAAGGATGTTCTTTTTCTACACCAACTAGAGAACTATATGTTGGCCAACACGGATTTAAGGCATGGGATGTAAACCGCAAAGAGGCCATTCAACTCTGCAAACAAGCTTTATAGCAATATTGCCACATGTAACACACGTACCTCTGTCAGCTCCCATGTGATGCTTATTGTCCAGCACAGTCCGTAGCTCCGGATCAGCAAAGCTTTCATTGCCCATCCCCAAAAGTGTCCAAATGCAAATATGTCAAAATGGCTTAGTATTCGCTCCCAAGTAATAACGTGGCAATTCACAGCATATTCCTACATACAAGGAGATCACGGATGTTAAAAGAATTTGCAATGTTGGGACATTCACAACCTAAGTAACGGTTAGGGAATCACCAGAACTCGGAACGTAAACATCTCCAGTGGTCATTCCGCAAAAATTGTACATTAACGAGAATGAAGCATCACAGTAACTGCAAAAAGAATCTACGAGAATATTTCAAATTGCAGTTTTCCAGAGTACCATCAGTTCTAGTAATATATTGAAGCTATATATAGAAAAAAAAAAAATACATATTAGGTGGAAATAATGGCCAAAGTAGTATTGTGGATTCTCCACAATGTCGGATGTTACATTACCTACCTATGGTTAATCACCAGAAAAAAAAAAAAAGCATTGTGTGATAGAGGTTGCTTTATTTATGTTCCTAGGGATAGAGGGATAAAGTTTACAACAACTGCAGGAACATCATATGTATTTTGTTTTTAATCACTTTAATATGTTGTACATAATGTATTAACATAATTATTAGCAACCTTCAGCCTGGAGTATCCAGTTAAAATGTTCATCATCAAACTAAACTTAATGAAAATACCATAACAATTTAATAAACTTATCACGGTTTCCCATTAAAAAAAAATAAATAAAAAAACAACAAAACCAACCAGCAGCCAACAATAAACCATTCCAATAAATTGGAACGATAGAAACGATAATGATTTGTCAAGTACTGTACTTGAAAGAGAGAAAGTAACAAATGTAGCTTCACGATAGGAGAGTGACCCATTTGCCACCCTTGATCCTACAGGAAATGTCAAAAATCAGGTACTCACCATGATATCAGATTCGCGTGTAGCAAAACGAAGGTTTGGGTCTAACCAATACATGACAGCCTTCACTTGTTCAAAGTTCAAGAACAGCAAGAAGATGAGGAACAGGAAATAAAGTACACTGAGACCTGAAAATTGATACATGTTCTGCATCAGACATAATGGAAACGGGATTTTGAATAACATGCAAAAAGAAAACCGGACCATGAATGTCACCAAGAGGTTACATTTTCACTAAACACAGCCAACTGACTAATTCAGTGACCACAATGACAATATCCAGTCGTAGGTACACGAGGCTCAATTAACTAACAACTCAACAAAGTATCAGTGGGCAGAGCCCTCAGCAACTTTAGTATTCACTGAAGATCTTTTTGTTTGCCAGAATTTAATTCCAGTGTCTTTACAGACCACTCACACCCGTAAAGCACTTGAGGTTGATGAAGTGCTTTATGGGTAAGGAGGATCCCATTTTAGTAGCACTTTAGAAAAGTGCCTATTTCTTTGACAAATAAGCACTTTTATAAATAAATTGTAAAACACAGCCAGGGAGCTTTTCTTCTTCCTTCCGTTAGCTTCACTCAGCTAATGATAGTGGCAGTTCCAATCTGCTAGAGCGCGCCTGCCATTGCCTCCTTTAAATCTTAGAGCCTGTGTGCGCCGTGCGTCCACAGGACGCTCATTCCCATCCTTGTTTCTTGCTCCTGCATCCTCCTCAGCTTTCCCCTCGCCACGCTTCAGTGTCTATGTGGTTGCAGCTAAGAAGCAGAGGCTTGCCCCCAGCAAGGAGGGCTTGCATAGGCTACAGCTTTTGCAAACTTTTTTTTGTACCCCCAGCTACATGCAGCAAATAAAAAAAAAAATAAAAAAAAATTACTTGTGATCATTCGGGGTATTTCTAATACATAGTGATTATTTAAATAAAAAAATCCCCGTGGAATGCTCCTTTAAACTATAGATTAGGCCAGCAAAAAAAATTGTGAACTCAAGTACTTGGAATGTTTCACAGATTTGAGTCGCCTGGGTCCAAAAGGCCCTTGGCAGTGATTCTCTTTTCGTCTCAGCCCTTTGTAAATAAACCCTTTCATGTGTCTTGTGATTCACACATGACGTTGGTGCCAACTGAAACCTTTAAAACCAGGGCTGTCCAAAAGGTAGATCCACAGAGGATGTAGAACTTCAGAATGGCGAACAAAAACAGGGTTCTACCATTTGGGCTCACTAGCTTAAAGGGCCACTATAGTGCCAGGAAAACATACTCGTTTTCCTGGCACTATAGTGCCCTGAGGGTGCCCCCACCCTCAGGGTCCTCCTCCCGCCCGGCTCTGGAAGGGGGAAAGGGGTAAAAACTTACCTTTTCCCAGCGCTGGGCGGGGAGCTCTCCTCCGATCCTCCTCGTCTCCTCCCATGCGGCTGGCTGCGCACGCATTCAGCCGGTCTCATAGGAAAGCATTATCAATGCTTTCCTATGGACGCATGCGTGCGCTCACTGTGATTTTCACAGTGAGAATCACGCAAGCGCCTCTAGCGGCGGTCAATGAGACAGCCACTAGAGGAATTGGGGGAAGGCTTAACCCATTGATAAACATAGCAGTTTCAGAGAAACTGCTATGTTTATAAAAGAATGGGTTAAGCCTAGCTGGACCTGGCACACAGACCACTGCCTTTCTGCATGGATTTCGAATAACACAAGATTTTTTTTAAATTGCATTTTTATCTACACTAAACTCCTCCCACTTATTTCAAGTGAATGAGATTCTGTAAGAAATAATTTTTTATTTTTTTTTACTCAATAGGAAATGTTTTACATTAGAATTCCTGCAGAGTGAACAACAATAATGAGCTATGCTGCTTCTTTGGATCAACAGCCATATATTCTACAACATGGTAAACCCCTTATAGATACTAATTTTAATGAAAGTCTATCAGATCCATTGGTACAATTTTGGTGTCAGACATATGTTTTTGGACCAAAAATCCCCAAATTCTGGGAGCAGCAGACAACATTTGGTGGTCACAGTTTAATGCCCCTGCTTATTGTCAGCATCTAGTGATTTAATTAAAGAGCTCAACATTAGAATTTAAAATGGATCAGAGCCTGACTTATCACTTACCAAACACCATTCTCCAGAGAGCAGGATGTGGTCTTGTAAAGGGGCCTGGAACAGGAGAGAATAAAGAAAGTTACGATTTACGCAGATTGTTCAACACTGTAACTTAGCCAGAATGTTCCATGTTTGGTACTACTGTGTATCAGTGAAATGTAACCGCAATGCTAATTAATGCTTAAACTTGTGCAAGCAATTCAGCAACAAATAAGGATCTGAAAGTGAACGCTTCCTGCCCCACGTGGTGTGTATCAGTTATTTAAATTGCTGTTGGCTTGGAGTTACAAAATAACTGCTGGAATAGACCATAACCACTGATTAGATTACTATAACTTACATAAAACTACCTGTGCACAATTTATTCACCTATGTCGCTTTTCAATAACTGGAACTTGTGTATATAATTTTTTTCATAAGAAAATCTGTTGATTGTAATTTTGCATTAAAAAACAAACAAACAAAAAAAAATCAGTAAAAGATTATTTAAAAGGTTACTCCAAGCCCCATGACCAATTCAGTGATTTGAAGTGGTCATGGTGTCTGGAGTATGTGTGTGCAGCATTTTTAAAAACTCTGTGCTGGAGATGTAACTGCACTTCTGGCAACATCATTAGCCCAGAACCAGAGCTCCAGGCTGGCTAATGTCAATTCTGTGCATAGAATTGCACTTATTCACTGAGAGAAGTCAGCTGATGAATGGCAAGGAGATCAGGAGCTGTAGGGGTTATGATACTTGGCTTAACCTTCTAACAGAATCAAAGGTACAGGGGCATCATTTTGTGGCTAAAAATGGTGCAATATATTTAGCAGGATTAAAATAAAACACAAAAAATAACTAAACTAAGTCCACAACTACAGAAAGTATTGTGTAAACACTCCCACTACAAGTGAAATTAAAGTGATGTACAATATATAATTGTAGATTAGATCAGAAATTTCTAGAAAGAAAAAAATATATATACACACACATATTTTTGGATATAATTATTTATATACATTACCATTTGGGAATGCAAGCACACTGATAATTAAGAAGAAAAATATGACTGATAATATGCCTTTCCAAATATTGTCTTCTTGGCTTGTGTTCTCTCTAAAGTGAAATAAATAAAACTCACATTAAGTACAAAAGTGATATCGGAGAATAAAGAAGCGTAATGATGGGAATGCACATATTTATTGGTGCCAAAACACACCGATTTGGTAAATACATATTAAATCTAAAGAGGACAAAATTATCAGAGTGTAGGAATCCATATGATTTGTTTAAAATGTACATAGGGATTATAAAACACACAAAAAAATAAAAAAATAAAATAAAATAACAGTTATGCACCACCAATAATTTTAGGCAACCGTGACCTGTATTTAATACTGATGGAGCTGTAATGCCCCCTCTGTTTTTAAATAGTTGTATAAGTGACAGTTCCAGGACCACAGCCTATTACCTAGGACTAGGTTATGGTGTGATGGCCTGTTGGTCTTCCACCAATCTAGTGGTTTGGCAGGCATTTCCTACATCCCCATTTACTCTATTATTTGACTTTATGTGGGGTATCACAGATTTCCTCTTGACTATTCTCACTTCCCCATTGATTTAAAAGTTTAACTTCACATTCTCCATTCCTAATGTAATTCAACTTTTATATATTTTTTACCGTCATACCTAGTAATCAAACATACCTTGCTACACCTAGCAATCAAGCTTCTTTTTTTGTGAAATTATACCCCACTCACTTTAGCATTGATCAGGGGTACTCAAAAGGTAGATCCTCAGATGTTGTTTAACTACAACTCCCATGATGCTTTGAATGGCTTTAGAATGCCTGTAGAATTGCAAAGCGTCATGGAAGTTGTAGTTTTAAAACATATGGGCACCCCTGGTTTAAACCATAAGCTAGTCTGAGCAGGGCCCTGTATGTAAAACTCTTTCTAATTATATTTGCAGCGCATAGCTTAGCATTCAAGAGTAGTAAGACATCATAGCCAAATCAATGATTAATAAGAAGATCAGCTAAGTGTGTCTAAAACACGGCACTTTTTTTTTTAGATCACAACAGAACATACGATAAATCCAACCTATAAGTGAGTAGCAGACTAGCAGAGTATGGGTTAGAGTTACATGGAACTACAGATACACGTAAACAGCATGACTATAATATCAGCAGGCCAATAAATGATTAACAAAAAAGAGCAAACAATGAATGAGGTAGCTTTATATAAACAGCTGAGAGAGCTCCCCATAGTGATATGAGGAAAAGATAAAACAATAAGAGTTGGGTGGGAGGAGTGTGTGTGTGTGTGTGGAGGGGGATGCAGAGGGAGGGTAGGCGGTATAGGTAAAGGAGCTAACTGGATCTGGTTATACCCAGTGTTGTAACCCTCTTATCGTTGTAATTACTTGTATATGCCATATGTTGATACTTTGTAAATAGTAATGATAGGTATGAAGTGAACCTATTTGAGACAGTCTCCCAGTCAGTTACACCCTAGTCCATGGTGGACCATACTGTGAAAGTTATTGGCCTTGTGTAATTCTATCACTCATGTACAAGCAAACTATGTTTAAAAACCTAATTCAGTCACAACATGAGGGGCTGGCCCCCTCTGACCACCCCAACTGCATCTATGGGGACACAATATGCTGCCCCAGCTCATCACCCCCAGAAATACACACCCTCCTAGGAACCAAATAGAGTAAATGTACATCTGATAACACACCCTTGACATTATAGAGCCAACAACAACAGGAAAACAAGCCATTCTGCAGGACCCCACACGGCGTAAGGAGACACTAGAGCTACTACACCATGTCAGATCCGACCACATATCCCCTCAACCATACGAAACATACCCCTCTGTGCATTAACAACTCAACAATATGGGATAGACCGTACTGTGACAAACTGTGCGCAAACCTAAATGTTTATAAAATGTACACACACCCTTACCCCCAGCCTTTATCCTGTTACCCCTGATATGACATACTGCTATACAAGCAATAGGTACAGAAATAGCCCACGCTCAGTGAAATCTAGAATGTCCTCCCCTCCAAGGGGGGACATAGGAATATCACTATTAAGCAACACAGGGCACGACTGTTAGCACCACCCTCTGGAAAGACCATTTAATGGATTGTATACCAATATCCTGCTGTACTACCTATGAATCTGAATGCAAAACTGTAAAACTATGAACGCACCTTTTCACATCCCTTCTCTTTTGTGTAAACCCTACCTTGTTTACTGAGAAATACAAAACCTGAACTAAATAAAGAATTTAAAAAAAAAAAAAAAAACCTAATTCAAAGAATAATGGAATGTGAACAAATACTTCCTCCTGTTTTTACTGAAAATTGGCATTAGATGAAGGGGACTTTAATTTCACCTGGATCAATACTCCTTTTAAAAGGTTAACACAAATGACTAATGTTCTTCATCTTGCATTAAGATGTAATATGCTTCAGCGGAGTAAAAATAGTTTTTGGTTCTAATTTCCATCAGTGCAACAAAAATCAGAACAGTTTTACTTCCGATTATATTAAAAAAAAAAAAAAATAACACAAGAAAAGGGCCACTCAGGTCGAGCAATCTCAAAATATTAAGCAGACAGGAGAACCTTCATACAATAGACCACAGGGTTCTGAACAGAATGCAGACATTTAGAAAAAGCAACAGCATGCTTTGTTAATCCTTCTAGCTTTGAAACGACCAAACTGCAAAACCTGCTTATCAACCAGTTACATATTTGCAAAGATTATAAAATGTGCTGTTTGCCAAGGCTATCCTTCCACTCTAATCATAGAAAAAAAATGGAAAAAAAAATAAATGAAAAGGCTAATTCAATTGTAGTCAGTCCAGTTATAGCTGAGGCCATTGTCCAAAATGCTTGGCATTGTTTTTTTAATTTTTTTAAATTTTGTTAAAGCATTATACCGAAAAAGAAATGCCAATGGAGCCAGAGTTTTACAAAAATGTAATCTACTTATAAGCTACTTCACAAATGGTACAGCACACAATTAATAATGCTGGCGGTGCTGGGGGTAGGTTGGCTCGCTACTGCTCCAGTGATGGCATTCTCCAGTGATCCAAACATACTGGCGCATGATACATCCCCAACTGACTGAGAACATAGAGGATCCACCTCCTTTTACTACCATGGTGATGCTTCTCCATTTGACTTCCCAACTCCTTTCAAAATATAAGGAAAGCCTGACATTTCCTAAATGCTGTTATGTGCTTATCCATGTTTGTCTAGTGGCAGTGTGCCACCCTGTCCCTCACTCAATAGATGTAGAAGGTGGCAGAAATTAGATCCATGGAGAACTTGACTGCTTCCAAACTACATAGGTAAAGCATGACTTATGGTACTCATGGCTGCCCTATCTTGCGACTACATGTCTGACTGAAAAATGACCCACAGTCTTGGGTTCTGGGCCTTGCTCACCTTGCATGGTTTTGTAGGTTTTTGTTTTGTACTTTCCCCTCTACCTATCCACGTTCTCTTTAACTCCCTTTTAACTGCTTGCTTTTTCCTGGTTTGACTTGGGGTGAATTGTACTCTATATTCTGACATGCTTGTTTGTTGCCTTATGTATCATGAAATATCGTGCTCTGTTCTATTTGAACCTTCTGACTATTTATTTCTTGTATTGTTACATTGAAAACTTGTGGATTTGTGGCATTGTTCCACTATTGTGAGTCCCCAAGTGCCCATTTTAATACTTTCAATTCTTTTCAAAGCTGGTAGCATTAAATGAGGAGCTTGGTCAATGAATGCCACCTAAATACAGGACTGCTCAAAAGCAATTGAGGGATGCCATTGCAATGGGAATGCTGGCAACAAACATTACAGGAAGCTATAGTGATTATGGTGCATAGAATTCCCCTTTGAAGTCTCTGTATTTGATGAAAAACATCAAGCTGTGCATATTCTGGAGTAAGCTCTCACCAAACCAGTATGTCACTCAACTCCTCACTTAAATGGTTACTTCACCCACCATGACCACTTCTGCTTTTAGTGGTAGGAGTCGGTACGTGTGGCTTGAAACGCTGCACTCCCTGCACACTGTTCCAGTCTGGCTAATGTCAACTATGAACAAAAAAGTTAAATTAAAATACATCTCAGCTCATCTATGTCATTGTTTTAGTCCTGCCGCCATCTCAGAGTCCTTACAATCATAAATTGCTGGGCGGGGCCTCCTTTATTTTGTCCCTGCTTCTACCCTCCCTAGCCGAGAGCACACATGCACTGAGCCAGTAGAACAGGTCAATGAAATGCATTTGATTGGCCCACAAGCATGGATCAATGATGTCAATGGGGGAGTGGAAACCACTGAGAGGAGATCCAACCCAGCGTTGGATTCCAGGTAAGTTCAGTCTTTATTTTACAAGGTGTTATGGGGGTGGGGAGGGGAAGCTAGTGAATTATTTCCAGTACAGTTTTTAAAACAAAATAAATACATGTTATACAATGGGATAGAGTTACCCTTTAACTTCCTGAGAAGACCTGGGTGCAGCTAGGGTTCCAGGGAGTTGTAGTTTACCAGTTGGTTTACTAATACAGAAAGCTTAATAAAAATAAACTACAACTCCCAGAAATGCACACAACAGTATTTTTGGAGAAAAAGGTGAAACACAGAAGGTTATAAATAAGGTGCCTAAAAAGACTGGGCTTGTGGAATAATAAAATTATTAAAAATAAAGAACTAAGGAAAAAATATATATATATATACATAAGCGTACCCTAACAAGACATGTGTGCGTGCCTGGAATGTCCTTTTAATCTTACATACATACAGAAAAGCATCATACACATCTATAACTAACAAACATTTCCTAGCACAACAGACTTCAAATAGTGACTATTCCTTTATATATTGTTTTTGGCAAAATTCTGCATTCAAATTCTTTTATAGAATACAAAAGCTTCCTTTGGCTTGCCCTAACTATGTATGAAAAACATACAATATTTGCTTCACATGCTGTAAGCAGTGCTTGAAGACTGCCACCTCCAGCTGTTGTTCGACTACATTTCCCTGAATTCTCAGTCTCATAATTCTGGGAAACACAGTCCAATAATACATCGAGTTTGAAGGTTTAATACCCCATCTCTAAATTCTACTGGCAAAATGCCTGGATCATTTTACTCTGTGTCCGTTAACACTGCTCAGGTGCAGTTTGTCATATGATGGATAGTGCAATTGATCTGGAGTCTTGCCGCTTTTCATTAAATCAACAGTGATTTAGACAAAGAGGACAAGATGATACCCACACATGGGCATTTATTTACTAAATAGCGAGCAGACAACCTTGACATCAGGGGATGTGGTACATTACAAGCTTTAAAACATTCTAGAAAATTAAAGATCTAAACTGAGTCCTAAATGCATAAGAGAGCTCAGTCATCTGCACTCACATGTGAACACAAATTCCACTAATACTGAACTGAAAAAAAGGCTTAAAGCAGATTTGTTAAAAATTAAGGCCTGGCATTTTTTGTATTTTTTTTTTTTTATCCTAAGGCACAGACTTCCTCTTTCAGTTCAACAGTAATGATACATTTACAGGTCTCTTTTTTTTTGGTTAAATAAATAGAAGCTGAATTCTGAGATAGCCTCCGGTATGAGTGATCTCATGCACTGAAACCAGAAGCAGTATCAGGGAAATGGGAGGAAATTGTATCAATACAGCCCGCAGTAGAGCCAGGCAATCACATCCCAGAATCAGACAAAAAGAATAAAACAATACAATTTTACAGATCATGTAAACGTTGGTTCTGACCCAAAACTTTACAAAGAAGGGATAAATCATTCAAGTGGGATTTCTAATGACTGATGTCACTCCGTTCTAACGCCAATGCATATAAGCTCATGGAGCAGGGGCCTCAACCCCTCTGTTACTGTGCGTCCAACTCGTCTGTTAGTCTACCCATTGTACAGCATTGCGGAATTTGTTGGTGCTTTATAAAAAATAATTATGAAGCCAGCGTGTCAGTGTTATAGCAGAGAACTTCCTAGCTTTGGAACTCTAGTCATGGCAAATAAAATCTGAATGGGGGTAGAATACACGAGAGGTGGGTGTAATTTAGCACCCAGTGAGCTACAAACATAGTAGAGACAGACCAAACGTAAGTGGGTTTAATGGCTAAAAACGTTACATTGAATACAAATTTCTCTCTATGATAAACAGTTGTGGGAAGGGTTTCCAAGGCTATAAATACACGGGCCTTACTTTCCACTGAGCCAATACTGCTTGGTTCAGCCCACCCACCGCTCACTTTATCAAGCCACTGAAGTTTGGTGGGCCCTTTTTTCCAGGCCTACCTGATCGTCTGTTTCGGGACACCACAACCGACTTACACCACTAATACTATAACTCGGCTTATTGTCCCTGTCTACAACCAATGTATTCATTGTCTACGATATATCAGTAAAAATGAACCTGTTATTACAGGTTCACTTTAAACAATCACTAGCAAAGCTGGAAAAATATTTGAATCACAAAACAGTTCTAATATTATTTTGGCCTAAATCCTGCAATTCCCTGTTAAATTCTCAAACATTTCCCAATTAAAAGGATCACTATAGTTTTTTTTTTTTAGTTGTAAAACTCAACGTCATGTGACGTGGAAGCTCCCATAGTAAAATCACTAGTTCAAGTTTGTATGCGTTTGCAGCACTCACGCGCATGCACATCAGGTCCCCAATGCTCCTCTATGGGGAACATTGGATTGGACAATCATGGAGGAGACCATGCCTGCTCCATGGCATTGCGGAAGGCAGAGAGGGAGCCAAAGCGCTGGAAAAAGGTAATTCATCTTTATGTTATTTTTTTGCCCACGTGGAGGATGGGGAGAAAACAACTATCAATGGGGACACTAAATTGTTAGGAATATTGGAAAATAAACCCTGAGCAAAATTATGAAGGAGTTTATTCACTAAACACTGAGCTGTAATGAACTAAAGATCAAATTGCTACATTCAGGCCAAAAGAGCTGGTGTATAAAATTCTGTCATAGTTCAGCTATCTTAGTCCAAATTTCACAATTTAGTTTCCAATGCAAGGTTTAGTGGATAAACCAAATTCATATTAGTCAGAGAGAATGATTCTCAATTTATATTACAATCTGCAAACATTTGAAAAATCAAACATTTAGTAGCAGCTATCACAAACAATCCAATAATATGCATCAAAAAAGCATCATGGGTCCCCATTAGCATTGGCCTGTTACGTCACACAGTGTACCACCTGTCAATGCTACGAATGTGTCAATAGGCCAGGCAAACAACATTACTGTTACAAAACCCACATCACGTGCAGCTAATTATATCATAAATGTGATCCTACTGAGGATCTATTTACAAAGCAGCCTCTTTAGGCCTAGCAAAAAGGCATCAATTATATTTTTACTGCCGATAACAAACCTTTATTATTTTTTTCCCAGATGGCACTATTTATATAATATTTTCATTTAAAAGGGAACCACACATTTACTCTACACTTTTTTCTAGATCCAAGCTACAGATATAATCAAAGGCCCTGTGTTTTCAACATGTCACGTTAGCCCATGAAGGACACTAAATTGCTATATTGAAGCAGAGAGTCACAGATTGCACTCTGCATGTGCCTATTACCCTGGGGATCAGATATCCATGCTGAATCCATTAAGAGCTGAAAGGTTTAGAACCTACAGGACAGTCTTTTAACTGATTTGCAGCATCACATTGTAAAACACTTGTATGTTTCGGGGTATATTCACTATAAACAGAACTAGAGAAATGTCCATTGAAATAATTTGGACAAGACAGATAATTTGGAAGTAGAGATGAATGCGGATAACGCTTCCCAATTTTCACTCTTTAGTGAATAAAGCTCTTGGAAGGGATATGACATACAAAACCCCCATGTGTTCAATGAGGTCAAATGAGGACAGAGTAATTAACCATCTCTGTGCCAGCCATCTGCACAATGTGTTTCTCAAGCACTCTGATGGGTATTATTTAGCGCACAATTATTCCATGGCGCTTTAAAATATTATGAAAGTGGAAAATTTAACAATGAGACAATTATAAAATGTTACAGAAACAATAGGTTGATGAGGACCAAGCTCAAATGAGCTTATAGTCTAGAGGAGGTGGAGTATAAAAACACAATAGAAAGGGCATCGATAGGGGATAGCAAACGTAACGACAAGGTGGGACAGGAGCATTACTGGAAGGTGAGAGTGCAGTGTGGCCCTTTAAGAGAGAGCAAGAGACAGGTTTGTGAAATAGAAATTACTCTGGGAGGTCATAAGCTTTTCTGAAGAGATGTGTTTTGAGGGACATTTTAAAAAGATTGAAGAGTAGGGGAGAGTCTGATTGGGGAGGCAGGCTGCTCCTAAGCACGTCTCGGCTGCAGGGCACTAAACACCAAGGCCTCGATTTAACAATTTTGGATACATTTTTCAAATGATCACGATCTGTTACAAAAACTTTTCAAGTTATTTATCTACAAACATTTCCATTATTTTTAATGGTGACTAATGTAAATAAAATTATTTTAAAAGTTTTCTAGAAGACTGAAAACTAATTGGAATGTGCTAGTCCAAAAAAAATAAAAAAAAAAAAAAGGTAGGGTGGACGTTGTTCATCAGGAGCAATCCAGAAGGGCCAGTTGGTATACAGTTCTATATAATCAATCCTGCAACAATACACATTACCAACTAGTGTAATTCAGTGTGTACAATACTATCTCTCAAATTGCCAAGTCATTATGATATAATTTTCTACCTATTAGAAGTCACTGAGTTTTCTTTACAGGACAAAAGATAAAAAAGGTATCCATGCCTTTATACAAGAAACAAACAAACAAAAAAAATCTCCATGGTTGATCAAGTTTTGTTTTTTTAGAAAAAGGGTTCGTTTAGTAAACTCTGAATTGCACAAAAAATAAAAAATTCTTATTGAAAACATGATTTGGAATTCTGTAGGACTCCCTGAGTTCATGTAGAGATGGAAAATAAGGAATTCTGCAGGGCAGTCTTAGTTTATGCATGGCTGGAACTAGTGCTTACATTTTTTTTTTTTTTAAATGCTATAAATTTGATACAGAGTTGCAAAATAAAAAAAAAAAATATTCTGAAATGCTGCCAATGTTTGGGGAAACCCATAAAGGAAAATAGAAAATGTGCTTGGCTGCATGAGTGTGTGTATGTATATATATATATTTTTTTTTTATTTTTATTATTTTTATTATTATTTTTTAAATCTGCAGAGCTACATTGATAGAATTGCTACATTTTAAAAAGATGTGCTACAAATCAAAAAGGAACATAAATAATAAAATAATAACAACATACAATCCTACAATGTTTCTATAAAAGCTCCTTCCGTGCACACATGCAAAGATATCACTGTTTTATCACATTCATTGTCTCTGCTGTTGTAGCACTGCGACTCCCAATGACAGCCATAGTCATGGATGATGGGAATTGTAGGCTCAGCTCACAGCTCTTAACCCAAAATGCATGAATTTTGCAGCCAATATTACAAAACATAAAATTATATAAAAGGACACATGGATGGATTAGTGGCTGCAGGGGTGTGGGTTAAAGAGGAGGTTGATGCTGTGTACACCATCAGGCAGACTCTGCAAGGAAATGACACCCCACCCCACCCCCTTCCCAAAAACCTACCCCCAAACCAGCACTTACCTAGTGAAGGCAAAGTACATGAGACTGATAATGGTGAAGGTCAGCAGGGTGATGGTGTGGGGCTTGTAGAAGAAATCAATGGTGATGTCCTCTACCTGCTGTTCGTTGATCATCCTGAAATGCAGTTTATAGTTAACATCATCCTTACTGAGAGTCCTGGATCTCATACAGGACGCCATGTCCCCCTGAGCGCCCTCTCCATCCCAGCCCAGGAAGCAAACACTGACACAGGCACCCAGACACTCACACCCCGGACCGGACCATTCCCACACCGGGACGGGAGCACCACTCCATGCACAACACAATTTTTACCTGCATAGCAGAGCACGCACTTGTTGCTGCACTGGACGAGCTGTGTGATCAATTACAGCATCTGAAGTTTATTATTTATGCATTATTGCGCAGTGTACAGGCCATTACAGACAGTGCAATGTGAGCTCCCCCCCTATGTTTGGAATGTGGACTCGCCCATAGAGGAAGTGTTTCTGCCTGCTCTGCACCCACGTGGGTTAAAGCTGCGGATGGGGGGCTTGTTAGCTGGTATTGGTGGAGGGTAAGTGGCAGTAGAGGAGAAAAATAAATAAATGTTTCCACTGTTGTTGTATTTATATTTTAAGTCAGATGTGTGCTGTCTGCCAGAGTTACAATGCGTTGATTTATATATATTTTTTTCATGATTAGTGGCATAGTAAACAAAGGTCATGTTATGCTATAAAATCATTAAAGGGACATTATAGTCACCCAGACCACTTCAGCTCAATGAAGTGGTCTGGGTGCCAGGTCCCCCGGATTTTAACCCTTCAGAGGCAAACATAGCAGTTTCAGAGACACTCCTATGTTTACATTGCAGGGTTAATCCAGCCTCTAGTGACTGTCTTCCTGACAGCCGCTAGAGGCGCTTCTGTGCAGAACATCCATAGGAAAGCATTGAGAAATGCTTTCCTGTGGACTGTTTGAATGCACGTGCGGCTCTTGCCGCGCATGCGCATTCCACTCAACTCGGGTGCTAATGTCGGCAGGGGAGGAGAGGTCACCAGCGCCGAGGGAGCCCGGAGCTGGATAAAGGTAAGTGGCTGAAGGGGTTTCAACCCCTTCAGCGCCAAGAGAGAGGGGCCCTGAGGGTGGGGGGGCCCTGGGGAGGATATAGTGTCAGGAAACCAAGTTTGTTTTCCTGACACTATAGTGATCCTTTAAGGGACACTATAGGCACCAAGACCACTCCAGCTTATTGAAGTTTACTTGGTGTAGTGTCCCTGTCCCTTTAGTCATGCGATGTAAAACAATGCAGTATTTTAGGAACTAAGACAGCCTCTTCAGGTGCTTCCGTGAGTTTACCGGACTCTGGGTCCCCTATATGACGTTGGACATCATCACATTCTGCACTAGGACATCCAGCATCCGTGAAATTCCCATAGGAAAGCATTGAGTCAATGCTTTCCTATGGGGAAGACATAATGCCCTCTCCGTGCATTAGGTTCCCCCTATCAGATGACTTCAGAGGGGACAGAGCAGCGACTGAGCACCGAGGGTGGAATCTAATGAATATGCGATGGAAGGGGGTTACCAGAGGGCACTATAGTGTTAGGAATACAATTTTGTATTCCTAACATATAGATTACCTTTAAGCCCTTAAGGACACATGACATGTGTGACATGTCATGATTCCCTTTTATTTCAGAAGTTTGGTCCTTAAGGAGTTAAAGGGACACTCCAGACACCCAGACCACTTCTGCCCATTGGAGTGGTCTGGGTGCCAACTCCCACTAACCTTAACCCTGCAACTGTAAATATTGCCGTTTTCATAAACTGCAATATTTACCTTGCAGGGTTAACTCCTCTTCTAGTGGCTGTCTACTAGACAGCCACTAGAGGGTACTTCCGGGTTTATAGCTCACATTTCGTGTGCTGTAGCGTCGCTGGTGTGAGGACCTCCAGCGTCGCTGAAATCCCCATAGGAAAGCATTGAAAGCATTTTTCAATGCTTTCCAGTGGGGAGGTCTAATGTTCCCCAGCCGGCGGCTGCGCATGCACAGTAGGTCTCCCCCGCCGGATAACGTCGGCGGGGGAAGAGCGTGGGCGGACCCTGAACCAGCGCCGAGGGACATCTGCGCTGGATACAGGTAAGTCACTGAAGGGGTTTTAACCCCTTCAGCAACTTGGGATGGAGAGTGGGAGGGAGAGGGGACCTGCAGTGCCAGGAAAACGGTTTGTTTTCCTGGCACTGGAGAGTCCCTTTAAGCATATATTAAGCATACATAAAGCACCATTTAGTAGATAGACATATAGTGGGTAAGATATGGACATTTAGTAGAAATTACATAGATATTAAGTATATACTTTTTTTTTTTTTTAATAGTTATATTTATCTCATATATTGGTGTTTATAAATTATTGTTTCATTCCTATAATCACTTTATATAGATTAGGATGTATTTTTATATAATGTACACCTGCTATATTCAATTTATCCTAAAATATCTGTTGTTCTTGAAAATGTAGCTAAATTGCAAAACCAGCCATAATCAAAGTTTTTTTTTTTTTTGTGCAAAATTTACCTTGCTCCAGTATTGGCTATATTAATAGTATACCTCTATAATCCTCACATCAGATCAGAATACACCATAGTTCCACTATTGAAGTTACATAATCTTCCGTGGGAATCCTTGCGGAGTTATTCACTGAAGTAAGAGTTGTCTGGAATTCAAAGCAAATTTAAAATTTAAGGCTAAAGTATTCAAACTCCAGGAAGAGATGACAGATCATTTTTCCAGTTCGCCTACTTTGGCCTTATATTTTAAATTCACTTTGAAGCCTCACTGTAGTGAATAACCCTGTTGGAGTTTGATGAATTTCTGAAGCTAAGATTCTGCATCAGGCTCTGGTAAAATGACAGGCTTTCAATCACAGAGTGAGACTCATAAATATTCTACAAGGATCAATATTTTGGCCCTTCCTGCTGGTTTCTTTTCTTCTTCCTAACCCCTTTTTTTTTTTTTTTCTTTCTGTTTTAGTAAAGCAGCGTTCATAGCCCTATTTATTTTCTTGTAACTTAGTTTTTTTTCTCGCGGGCGCAAAATAAATACATGACAATAGCTTGGCAACAAATTCTTACATTTTTGTGTACAGAATTCTGCAATCAGTTCTAACAGAATTCTTTTTACACTCATACAGTACATATGAGTCGTTGTTTAAAGTTGCTTTTATAAATATGCTCCTTTTCCAATCAATATAGACCCTCATTAGGATCACAGATCACTGATTTTAGATAACCACCCTTTAATTTTAATTAAGTTTTGAAGTGACCTTTTTCTGAGATTGTGTTTCAGTTGTTATTTCTCTCCATTGCTTTTGCGATGTTGAATGGCTATATTATATCTTGCAAAGCAATTGAAATAAAGTGATGAAGCTATATTTCACTACATATTCTGAGGGTGTACTACCTATTTTTTTTTTCATTTCCACATGTTCATTTAAGTTTCCAAGTTCAGTTATAAGAACCTACAGAGTAGTGTTTCCCAGCCTTCAGATTCAAGGCACATGCTCAAGGTTTTGTCAGTATCCCCATAGGAACAGAACTGCCAAATGCCTAAATCCTTGATTGACAAAAGCCAGCGTGCGTACACAGGCCTCCCAACACTCCTAATTTTGGCTGGGCAGTCCTTTCCCCACTCTCTTTTCTGACGAATGACATTGAGACTTATTGTTGAGAGAGCCAATCAGGTGTTGGCATGGAATCAATAAGGTGTTGGTATGGATGAACTCTCATTAACATGTATCAGATCTAACCCTTGTGACGGACCACCTGGCACCCTGACTGGGTGCCTCCGCCAATCGCGGCTTCCTAGTAATTGCGAGCACCATAAGCACCGCACTGGAACACCATAACCACCATAAACCCCACAGCAGCTGCAGCTTGGCTGGGGTCTTGCTGTCCTCGACCCAAGTCAGGCATCCAGCTTCCAGTGGGTAGACCTCTCCTACTCCAGAGAGTATAGCAGGAACAGCTCTTATAAGAGCTATTGTTGTAATCCAAGGGAGTATAGTGATATAGCAATCCCCAGAGTGAATATATCTGTCCCCTCCACACATTAGCCGAGGCTCTATTTGAGGATGAAGAAGAACTGTTTAATGGCAGCCACAACTGGCCTTATATGCAAGTCCCCATGCAAGGGGTTTCCCATGACATATTCCAGGGGCATTCCCCACTGGACCTGAGAGGGGCTATGACAAAGTACACACTGCAATTACATTGGCTCTCAGGTCCAGGACACTCCCACGCAAAACAGGGTAAGCCCTTCACTGTGCCTGAGAGATAATTGAGTTAGGCACTGTACTAAACTCAATTATCTCCAGGCACAGAAAACATACATTTTACAATAACCTGAAAGTAAGCCCAAAACACAAGGAAACCCCACAAAAGTCATATCCCCGATAGCCCCGATCTGGGGGACGAACATAGAAACATAGAATGTGACGGCAGATAAGAACCATTCGGCCCATCTAGTCTGCCCATATTCAAAAATCACCCAGATCGGTTCAGGGGTTTGGGGTTTTCATGGAAGTCCTCATTTTGACCAACCGTGGACATAAACCTATGCCCAAAACAGTTCCATGCCCAAAACAGTTCCATGAAATCAGTGCTAACGGTTGGTCAAGTTCGGTAGTCTTTTACAGGTTTCCCTGCAGGGCTCATAGTCTTTGGGCAGGAGGCTAGAAAGCCGGCTCCTCCAGGAGCTCGTGGCAAACTCACGTGGGAAGGGGAGTTTGTCACAATCCTTTACTCACATTGGCAGTGGGGGGGTGAGGCAGAGGGAGCTCTAGTGCCAGGAATACAGCGTTTATCCATTTTAATAAAATTACAAATAGGGAAAAGAATACAGTGGTCTCATAGAGAACAATGTAAAATAATAACATTGCAATAGGAAGGATACACTTATGAGTAAATCATAGGAAACGTAGATGGACATACACTATATGGACAAAAGTATTGGACACCTGACCATTACACCAACAGGTACTTTAATGACTTTCTAAATACATTCTAAATACATAGACATTAATATGTAGTTGTTCCACCCTTTGCAGCTAAAACCGATTCCACTCTTCTGGGACTGCTTTCCACAAAATTCAGGAAGGTTTCAGTTGAAATACTTTCCCATTCATCCAGTAGAGCATTTGTGAGGTAAGGCACTGATGTTGGACAAGAAGGCATGACAGGTAGTCTCCTTTTCAGTCCCAAAGGCGTTCAATGGGGTTGATGTCAGGGCTATTTTAAATTCTAGTACTCCAAGGAAAAAAACATTTCTATCCTCCAAATAAAGAAGAAGTATATTACACAGACAAAGCACCCCTACCCCCACAACTCACACACACACAGCACCCCTACCCCTTACCCCCACAACACAGACACAGCACCCCTACCCCCACAACACAGACACAGCACCCCTACCCCCACAACACAGACACAGCACCCCTACCCCCACAACACAGACACAGCACCCCTACCCCCACAACACATACACAGCACCCCTACCCCCACAACACACACAGAGCACCCGTACCCCACAACACACACACAGCACCTCTACCCCCACAGAGCACAGCACCCCTACCCCACACACAGCACAGCACCCCTACCTCTGCACACACAGCACCCCACACACACAGCACCCCACACACAAACATGTACACTGCACCCCACAATGCAGTATGTGTGTGTATTCAGCAGTCTGTGTGTGTGTGTTCAGCAGTCTCTGTGTGTGTATATATTCAGCAGTCTGTGTGTACTCAGCAGTGTGTGTATTCATTGGACTGTGTACTCAGCAGTCTGTGTATGTGTATTCAGCAGACTTTGTGTGTATGTATTCAGCAGTGTGTGTATGTATTCAGCAGTGTGTGTGTGTATGTTCAGCAGTCTGTCTGTGTGTGTGTGTCCAGCAGTGTGTATTCAGTGGACTGTGTGTTTGTATTCAGCAGTCTGTGTGTATGTATTCAGCAGTCTGTGTGTATGTATTTAGCAGTCTGTGTGTGTGTGTGTGTGTGCAGCAGACTGTGTGTGTGTGTGTGTGTATTTAGCAGTCTGTGTTTGTGTGTGTGTATTCAGCAGTCTGTGTGTATGTATTCAGCAGTCTGTGTGTGTGTGCATGTGTTGCATTTGTTGGAGATACTAATACATATAAGCTTACTTTTATCTATTTATATCATTATTTAAAATCTGTATCATTGAACCCTGTTGTGTTTTTCTTTTAAAACAAAAGTTGTTAATTAGTTCGGACAACCGTACGAGTTGTTTTTTCTATACTTAAACCTCAGTATTCAGGTTTAATTGCCGTGCTGGCACTTTGAGGAAAAAAAAGTTGGCATGTATGGCGGTTTGGGCACTCGGGCTCAAAAAGGTTCGCCATCACTGTCCTATAGAGTCTATATCTATGCAGGCTGGATTTTTAGTTGTATCTACTCTTCATGGGAATAGTTTATAAATGTTCCACCTAGTAACTGTATCCAAGTGTGGTACAAATCAGTTACAATTGAGATACAGTGTATATCAGCCCCTGACAAGAGATTGTACATTGTGGTGAGGAGGGTAGAGTTAATAATCTCTCTCACACTAAACTAATCTACAACTGCAAATATACACGTATATACTATTTTTTTTCTTAAAGATTTAACTAGATCTTATCTATATATCATATTAGGAGCTGTTCTGTAATTTATTGTTAAAGGACCACTCTAGGCACCCAGACCACTTCAGCTTAATGAAGTGGACTGGGTGCCAGGTCCCTCTAGGATTAACCCTTTTTTTTATAAACATAGCAGTTTCAGAGAACTATTTTTCACTATTATCACAGTCGTTATTTTCGACCCAATAGGGCGCTCTAGCAGTAGGAATACACATAATGTTCCTTTAAGTGCAGAGGGCTCTCTAGTATAAAAGAAAGTGCTCATTCTTGCACCTTTTCCTCTATTCTATGAACAGGGTGTAAAGGGTTCATAGGAAATGTTTTTTTTGTTTTTTTTAATTAATGAATTAATTCAATCCTCATTTGGTAATTATTGCGCTCCCCCTTTAATACAGTGTACTCCCGGAACAATGTGTCTCAGATCTCCTTAGTACATCGCCTAGATGGCAGTATGGGTTCCAACCATCTGAGGACTGTGCCTTTTGGATATACAGTCTTCTGCCAGTGTGTACGCCTACCCCAATAAGCACAGTGCCAGGAAGGTGCCCAGTGCTCCATGAGTACAATGTTATTGTGGTGCCCAGTATCCTTGGCACTGATTTCTCTAAGCCCACAAAGTACGGTTCTTCTAGCATCAGTGATCCTTAAAAGGATTCTATAGTGCCAGGAAAACAAAGCCATTTTCCTTGCACTATACGTCCTTACAGTGGCCCCCTCCAATGCTTCCTTGAAGGCCCGAACACCCATTTAAGGTTCATATCACCCAATGATGGAAGGTATGTATCAGGGATATATATTCACTAGATATTGTTATCAGGAAATTTGACATTTCAGTCCAAAAATAGGACAGAAAAATACTACTGATCAGACATTCCCTATAAATTATAATTATAGTGTATTCAGAAAGTAGACCTCTTCAAAAATCTGTTATTTTGCTTTTTCATTATGGGGTAGATTGATGTGGGGAAAAAAAAATGTAAACAATTGTAGTATCATTAAAGGGACACTATAGGCACCCAGACCACTTCAGCTCAGTGTCCAAGTCCCACTTAGTCCTGCAATGTAAATTATTGCAGTTTTAGATAAACTGAAATAATTACATTGCAGGACTAAGACTGCCTCTGGTTGACAGCCACTACAGACACGTGTCACCCAAATGATGCTGGACGTCCTCACACTCTGCATGAGTACATCCGGCGTCAGTGAAATCGCAATAGAAAAGCATTAAAGGACCACTCTAGGCGCCCAGACCACTTCAGCTTAATGAAGTGGTCTGGTTGCCAGGTCCAGCTTGGTTTAACCCATTTTTTCATAAATATAGCAGTTTCAGAGAAACTGCTATGTTTATGAATGGGTTAAGCCTTCCCCCAATTCCTCTAGCGGCTGTCTCATTGACAGCCACTAGAGGCGCTTGCGTGCTTCTCACTGTGATTTTCACAGTGAGAGCACGCCAGCGTCCATAGGAAAGCATTATGAATGCTTTCCTATGTGACCGGCTGAATGCGCGCGCAGCTCTTGCCGCGCGTGCGCATTCAGCCCAGGAGGTGGAACGGAGGAGGATAGGAGGAGGAGAGCTCCCCACCCAGAGCTGGAAAAAGGTAAGTTTAAACCCCTTTCCCCCTTCCAGAGCCGGGCGGGAGGGGGACCATGAGGGTGGGGGCACCCTCAGGGCACTATAGTGCCAGGAAAACGAGTATGTTTTCCTGGCACTATAGTGGTCCTTTAAGACAATGCTTTCCCTTGGGGAGGGCCTTCTGTGCTCGTAGTGCATGAGCATTTGCCCCCTGTCGGTGGAGTCTGGAATCGTGTAAGTGACCCAAGCTTTTTTTTAACCCTTAACATGCCGGGGAGGGGAGAGGAAACAGGAACACATCTGTATTCCTATAGCGCCCTCTAACACTATAGAATCCCTTTAAACAGCAACATTGAAAAGTTTGAAAACAAAATAAATGTACCGGAATACTTTCTGTATATATTACTTTACTTACTTTACTACATATTACTTTGTATGCATACCTGGGAAACTCCGTGCCCCAATGTTTCCCCCTTTACCCTTTCCTAGAGTAGAGGGCAAATGAGCCACAGAAAATATGGCTGCAAAGTGGATAGGCTACCTCTATAATGGGTATAACTAGTTGGGAAATTAGGAAAGGTAAGCTCCATTCCCGCAGCCTAGAGATGAGCGGTTTAACCAGAGTTCTAATGAAAAGGTGCCAGACCCAGATCCTCCAGGAAAAATTTGGGAGTTTCTCCAAAAGGTGTGCATGCACAAATCTGAATGATATTCTGTTCGTTTAGACAGAATAGTAAAATCTGCAAAAAGGAAAAATAAATCTTAGTCTATTAAAAGATTGACCAAAACCGTATGATTTCTTTCAAAACTGTAATAAAATATTCTAAGTCGTGACTCTGATAATTGCATGAGTGGTTTTTATAATTATTTTATGATGGTTAACAGTTCTTCTGTAGCAATTTTGTATTCATTGCTGTGTAAATTATATACTTACTTTTTTTTACATTTTGTATTTTTTTTGTAGATAGAGATACAGAAAAAATGGCTTTGGCAGTCTGTCGGATAAGCAGATGTCCACTTTTAAATCTTAGTAATTATGTCAGTTTTTCCAACACTATAAGAGACTCGGCAGCAATAGCCCAAACAATACTAAAGAGAAAGGAAACGGCTCAAGTGAGGCACTTTGTCAGTCAATTTAACATCATTGATACAACACGGAGCTGCATTTCACTTTCTGGAAAAAGGTTTGCCCAGTTCAGCACTCAGATTGAAACCCCAGTATGTCATCCAGATAGTAATCTGCCTTCTGCCAGCCTACATTTAAAGCAGGAGAATGCTGTTCTACCAATTATACAGACGGAAGCACTGCCAGAAGGTATAAAAGCTGTCATTACAGACTTATCAATCATGCTTTTAAAAAAATATTATTATATAGATAATTTGTTTAAAATATATATGCAATAACAAAAAAATTTAATACGATGAAGAAATATGCTAACATTTAAAGCCAGGTTTTGTAGCTTCTATAGCAAACTTGTCAAGACTAGTAAGTTGGCCAGCTAATAGTGACGCACCTTTAACGCTTTGCAGCGCTTTAGAACCTTTTTTATTTTAGGAATTGTAGTTCCATTGCCAGCATTAAGGTAGACATCTACGGCTGAACTACAACGTCAAGAAATCTAATAGAGTTATCTCCTAAATGAGACCTCCAATTAAATTTTAAATCTAAAGGACCGCTAAAGTCATCCATACCACTTCATCTCAAAGAAGTAGTGTAGGTGCAGTGGCTTTGTCATTTTCACCCTGCAATATAAACCATTGTAAAATGTGTACATTGTAGTGTTAAACACACCTCTAGTGACTGCCTTCCAGACAGCCTCTACTTGGCACGTGATGTGGCAGCTCACAGGAAAACATTAAAACGCACTCGCTGTGCATCCACATCATGTCCGTAGTGCTCCTTTATGATGAGCATTGGATTGGACCATTGTCCAAAGAGGTCATGCCTCCGCATTGATGTGAGCAGTGCAAGGGAGTTTTAAATCTATTTTTAGTGCAAATGTGGTGGTGGGGGGAGAGGTTGTATTGCAAATGCTACAGTGCTCCTCTAAGGTTATAGTAACCGATGCCTTCCGTTTGGCTACTTTGCCCTGAAATGTGATAATCACTTGAAATTCTGTTTAAATTTTCACTTTAGTAAATAATCCTGTAAGCCTAAACATATAGCTGTGTCATTGACGCAAAAAGGGAAATGTTTTGGGTTTAGAGAGAGGGGAAGAGTGAGCTTATCAAGCAAAACAAATTATTTTTGTTTAAATACTAAAAATACTAAAGAAGGTTATTAAAATGAATATAGCACAAATAACTGTAAAGTAACATATTTCATCTAACGTGGGCTTCTGGAGTGTCCTTTTAAGGAGACATTGCAGAAAAAGGGAGCAGTTGATGGCTTCTAAATTGAGTTCCGCTCAGAAGTTAATTTAGAGACACTGCTCTCCAAATTCCTCTTCACAGACAGAGGTCCATGAGATAACAGAACTCCTAGCCCTTTTATTGGACCTTTTATGGGATTAGCACCCTTCCTTTACAGACAGAGTAGGTGGCTAAATTGCATAAAAAAAACTAATTTTAGGATTTTATGTAAAATAACCATCTACCAAGTTCCACCCTCAGACAGTTTTATAGGCAATTGGAAGACATCGGTAAACATGCATAGTTCGCGAATGAGCATCAAGAATTGATGTATAATAATTTTTTATGATCTGTACTGAAACAAAACAGTGCAGGTCCACTGCAGCTGTAGTGGAGCCTAGGGAGGACTACACTTTTGGTGTATGAGAGTAGAACATTATCAGCTCCTCTTTCACCAAATTTTTATGCTACTCATTTTAAATCGCATAAAGCTCTGTCACACCTGGAAATTCTCCAGTTATTCGCGAACAGTGCTTAAATCACATTGTTGCAATGATCGGCTGCACACAAACCACAATTTCAGATAGTTTGTAGCAAAAGGTTTAACATGCTATATAGGCTTTAACCCCTTAAGGACACATGACATGTGTGACATGTCATGATTCCCTTTTATTCCAGAAGTTTGGTCCTTAAGGGGTTAAAAACAAAGGATAAGCAAGCTCTTTCAAGGGGGCTTTGCATTAAACCTTACACAAGGTCTTGTTTTGTTTCAGGATTGCAAGTGGTTTATCCAAGAGTATGCCTCTATTATTTGAACCATACCTTCCATAATCCTCAAATATCCCTGACAATTATAAGAATTGCAGGTTGTGAACAGCCGTAGATCTGCAGACTCACTAACAGTGCCTTGAATAAAAATGGGAATACGATGTTTGCAGTGTGTATGTATGAAATCTCGGTTCTCCTTTTAATATGTCCATGTACATGCATATATGGCCACAGTTTCTCTTTAATTGCACTGATATCTCCCATTCATTGTATTATGTAAATGAGATAACAAGTCCCTTGATATGCTTTCTGGGAGATGTAATAGACTAGATGGATGGAGTTATGTTGAATACACAAACAGAAATCCAGCCGATATAGCACCCAACGAAACTCATATAAGCAAGTGCCGTGGCACAAAATGCATTTAGTGTTTTTCCTGTTTTTGTACATTTGGATGTGTGATCTATTGTGTGCCATATATTTTTCTTGAATATTACATTCTTCTAATATCTGAATTCTCTTGCCACATTCTATGGAGTGTTTTGTTTGTTTGTTTATTTTTCTACTTTCCACCCCTGTTTTTTGTTGGATGGTATACTGACGGGATTTATAATTGTATAGCTGCAGTGGAGAAGCAACCTTTGTGGAGGAGATTGGAGTTATATTTATTCAGCATTTAATAGAGTGTATCTGCTTTCCTGATTTATTTATTTTTTTTATTTAAACTTATGGTGAATTTTTCTCTTAACATACAGTATGTATCTTGGATCATGAAAAATAACTTTGATTGATTTGTTGCAGGATGCAATGAGGTTGCTTGGTTTGTACTTAAAAACATGTAAAATTAGTGAAACTAATACCAAACCATTATTTTTTCATTTACTTTTAAATGCTCAAGATTTGGAGGGTGCGCCTCCCTTGTCCCCTTTGGAAGAGATTACCGAAAATGAAGCTGCTCAGATCGAAATAGATATTCCAATTCCTCCAGAGTCATTCTCACTTCGAGACTATGTGGATCGTTCAGAGACCTTGCAGAAACTTGTTTTGCTTGGTAGGTGATGTGTGTTGGTGAACACTTTTTATATGTATGCATACATCTTTGATACAGTTCTTAGTCTGTTTTTCTTTTTCTAGGTAGACACTTGGGGAACTTAATCTATTACCAGTAAGGCAGTGCATTTTGTATTATGAATTATTTTCTCTGACACATTTCCACAAGATGTGATGGAAATGTATAAAAAAAACTTCAAAGTCACAGTGAGCAAATACAGACCTGTGGTGGGGAAATAATCTGCAGGGATATTAAAGGAATTCTCCATTGGAAAAAAAATTATATTTTTTAAAAGCAATTTAGTAGATATAACTACCAAAAAACATTAATGTATTATTTTTTTCTGCAGCCCTGCCCTCTTTCCCTGACATAGACTTTCAGTCTGCGCCAGGGAATACTCTAATTTAATCAAATATTTCTCATTGAAAAGTGATTGAGCCGTGAGAGTGCGCATGCACATGCAATCATGGCTTTCCTTTGCTTTTTGATGAACTGTGTTTACAAGCGAGGAAGCCTGAATGACAGCCATCGTTGTGTTTCTGTCCCAATTTTAAAAGTGCAGATTTTTATTAAAATTGGCACTTTTATAAACTGTTTAAAAACATAAAAAATGCATTAAAACATAAAAAAGCGGTTTAAGACTAAATGGAAGGATGGTTCCAGGGAACTCCAGACACACTCTCCACATCAATAAGATGAAGCTGTTATAGTGCCTACTGTCCTTTTAAGCTGTATATTGTACAATATGCAACCAAGATCCTTTATGGGAATTGCATACACATTGGCTGCTGGTGAAGTTCATGTTGCAGTAAAGTTTATTAATAGTTTAGTGCATTCTATATGATTGTGGTAAAAGAAATATGTATTGCCCGTTGTGGTGAAGCCCAAAATCTTATTCCATTTACAAATTATTTCTATAAAACTATATTCGTATTATATTACTATAAACCATTTTCAAAGCTGTGCTAGAAACGTGGCCCTAAAATAGTATATTAGAACAGTGGCCCTTAAATCTCAGGTTCTCAATGTAACATTTTTTATAGATAAAACATTTTTAACTGGATGCCATACAGTCCTTCTGTATTGGGCAGTGGTGTATTGCGTTATCACAAATGTTATGCAAAGCAGAGAACTTTTCATTACAGTCTAAAATCTTAAACTGTTTCAGTATTCTGACCCCAGAGGGACAGCTCTGCATTTAATCCATTTTATTTTCTATCAGAATGTTCCCCCTTTTTTTTTTTTTTTTGTAGCAAAGCTCTACAAAATGTCTGTCTGTTTCTGTCGGTCGCACTAATGGTGACAATGCAGGTTTTACATTTGCTGTTCTTTCTCTTACCTCCTGAACTATATTCATCGCATTTTCAATGAGAAATTCACACTGAAGTAATAGGCTTATTATATCGTTCTTACAGGCTTTCATAGAACAGTTTAGAAAGGGGTATTGTTTCCTTTGGCAAAGTAAAGTCTAAAAGTATTGAACAATACCGCCCATTATGGCAAATTTGCTAGGTTTGTTTCTGAGTTAGTGAACTTTTATGGTGTAATATAAACTAAATATACTTTGTGAAACCATAGACCAGTGATGGCCAATGTATGAAGCATGACACAACTGGCATGATGGCTGATGCCTCTGCTGTGTCACAAGGTGCCTCTTTCTCACACATTGTTTGGTATAGTTTACACCAGGGGTAGGCAACCTGCAGCATAAGTGCCGTACACGGCACTCAAGGTGTCTTTGCATGGCACTCAAGGCTGCTAGAGCCAAAAAGGCTCTGGCCTATCAGGAGTCCCAGTGAAACTTCAGATATCTGCTAATACGAAAAGGTGGTGAAGGACAATCCTCAATTTATGCATTGCAGCACATAGAGGAAGTGATCTCAGATCACTTCCTCCCAGCACTTGTGAATGGGAATCCACACTGTAGTAGAGCAGCCTGCAGCTGCTGTTACTGCTCCTGTCCTTGACCTGTACCTGGCCAGCCTGGTCCCCACTGGAACCCAGGGAAGTCACCCACACTGCTAGATATACACAGAAATGCAGAATAACCCTCCCCTCATACAAATAATACGAACAGCCTACACACAAACATATACACAATCCGCACAAACATAACCCGCTAACAATACACGCACACAACCCCACATGCAGCGTCTCACATGCAATACCCCAAACAGCACTCCCAAACACACGTGACATATCCATCCACACACATTTCCACAAGCAGCCCTCATACACAGCCCACATTTATATGTATCATACATGATACCATAAACTACTAATGAACATATTCAATCTAATCGCTCATATACACACAAATACAATGATACAAAGCAATTACAGTATAAATAACACAAGCAGAATACGGCAACATACACACGTCAATTTAAAAAAAAAAAATAGGATCGGCACGCTATGGGACATCACAATCCTATATCGGCACAGTGCTGCTAAAAGGTTGCCTACCCCTGGTTTACACTATGGTTATTGAACATCAGTGTTCCAACCATTTATCACCTAAGTCCATCTACTCACTGAGCACCTGCATCTTTCTATTTCGGTCTGGCTGTGTTGTTTTATATAACTGCCGCTGCAATTCTTCCGGTTTGCCTCTACACCACCTCTTGGACCACCCTATGTCCAAACTCTTGGTGCATCTCAAGCTGTCGGATTAATGAACCACCGCCTATCTATCCTCTGTCGCATAAGATCACTTATGATAAGTGCTGGTTTTCCATTGGGTAATATGAGCATTTCACATGTCATAGTGATAGCTAACCTTGGCAAAACTGATACTTTTGAACAACATTTTCCTAAAAGCCTGACTAAGAATCATGACATCCTGTTACTACAGAAACCGTGGTTTTCAGAAAATATTATAGTAATTTACACCCACCAACACTCCACTGGCCTATGGTAAGTACCAGCCAGTGTCCACAAGATCTATATTTCCTGAGGTGAATACTGTGTCCCCCATAAACCCTTGCTGAACGTTGAACTTGATGTTTTCCAACCCATATTATTGTTGCATAGCATGTGTTAAAGGGGAAAAAGGTTGAGGAAAAAAATTAAATTGCCAGTGCGTATACAAAAGGGAACACGTGAAGCATGGGGAGACTGAAGAGGAGAATAAGTGAGGGAACGGGGAATAAGAAGAGGTGAGCAATTAGAGAGAGAGAGGGTTGTAAGCAGAGGGCATAAGAAAAGGGGGTGAGAAACACGTGATGGAGCAATAAATGGATAGAGGGGAGATAGAGAGATTAAAAAGGAAAGATGGGAATTGAAAGCACCTATACATACACACTAAACACCCACACATAATGTGTCTCTAACTCTTTTTTTATATCAGAACATTGACATTGTGATTGCTTTGATATTGTCAACCATTAATGTGCTGATAGTTATCAAACAGACATCACATTTAAAAAAATAAATAAAAAATTAGATTAACTTTTCAAATGATCACAATCTGAAAAAATGGCCATAGACTTTAATGTTGACTTCTTTAGATAAATCATTTGTAACATTTGTCTAACTGATTGCCATAGTATGAAAAGCTTATCCAACAAAATTATATGTAAGATCTTTTTTAAAATTTGAAGCTAACTTGGCATGATTAAAATATTTATATCCTAAATTCTTCTTATAATTATTTGTTTTTAGAACTATTCCCACTCCTCCCTCCCCCCCACCCACCCCCAATTTTCAGCTTGTCCTGCTTTCTCCATTTAGCACTGCTTTTTTAATAAGCGTTTATTTTTATCAGATCATTAATATGAATGTGGGGTTTCCGAACCAGCGAGACCCGTTCACCCTTTGAGATCAATTTAACAATCCATAAATTCACTGCATTGCATTTTTAATAGAAATTTAATTGAACAGGCCTGTTTAATTCTGCAATGGAAATGTGCTGCTCATCTATAAAAATTAAATACCACTGAACCCAATTAGAGCACAGCTGTTAATCATTATTTGACTTGTACATCTATAATGCTTCACAAAAGTCAGTCTATGCATTGAAAAACATGTCATCTGGTGCTATTTTTCAAATCTGTGATTCTGTCAAAGGGCTGTGATGGAGATGACACAATTGCCATTACAATGACACACAGGCTTCAAAGATGGCACTCCAAGGCAGCCATCAATCTTGGTGTCTGGAGTAATTGTACACTCGAGTGTGTGATGTACCCTAGCTATCATTGAAAACAGTGCACAGTATGCATTAAGAATAAATATGGTATAGCCTGTGTGTCAACTTTGACCACTATGAGTTCAAGATAGAAAACATTATCAGTGAGGACTTTTAACGGCATCATTGGTGCCATGCCCAGCTTTTATGGAATTTTGTCTTTCCTCCTGACAATCTACCCTGAAAGACAGCTATAGAGGGTAATCCAGGGGTTACCAATTAATTTTTCCTGTGGAACCCTTTGACATATGGTATAATCATTGTGGAACATCACCCAAAAAAAACAATTTTGTGCCGTTGCATAAACCTTTTTTTGTATGTGCTGAAATGTGTCTGTGTATCAAGGTGTGTGTATCTGTGTTTGTATGTGCCAGTGTGTGTATCTGTGTGTGTATGTATCTGACACACAGATACACACACACACACACTGGCACATAGTGGCACACAGATACACACACATTAACACACAGTGTGTATCTATGTATGTAACTGTGTGTCAAGGTGTGTGTATCTGTGTTTGTATGAGCCGGCGTGTATGTGTGTTTGTATGTGCCAGTGTGTGTATCGGTGTGTGTATGTATCTGACACACAGATACACACACCTTGACACACAGTGTTTATCTGTGTGTCAAGGTGTGTTTGTATGTGCCGGTGTGTGTTAAGGTGTGTCTATCTGTGTTTGTATGTGCCAGTCTGTGTGTGTGTGTGTGTGTGTGTGTGTGTATATGCATCTGAGACACAGATACACACACACAAACACCTTGGCACATAGTGGCATACAGATACACACATTGACACAGATACACTGACATACACACACATATGTTTAACTTACCTTTTTTCTTCCTTCAGTGCTGCAGGCAGCTGGCTGAGGATGGTGTGCCAGGTTGGCAGCTGCTCACTCCCTGCTGCGCTCCCTCTCCATCCAGCCAGTGCGCTCTGTCTGGGAGGAAGTGCTGTCACTTCCTCCCAGAATCCCATACAACAAGGGTCCAGTCGCGGTCTTAGACGCCCACGGCGCCTGACCAGACCACTGTTTAGTGATACCCATCCGGTGGCCCTAAATGCTTGGGCCACCAGACAGGCAAATCACCACAGAACCCAATTATTTTCTTGCGGAACACTAGTTGGGAAACGCTGGGGTAATCCATACATTGAATACTGAAGAAGAATTTTTTTTAGTGCCCTAAAATGATTATTGTTCTGCTGGATTTAGGATGGTTGTCAGTGATACAGTTGAGACATTATTAAAAATTTATATGGAGGAGACCAGAAGTGTGTATATGTCTGAGATGCAGGTGTGTTAATTGAGGAGCAGGAAAGAAAAAGGATCTGAAATGGAAAATAAGGTGAGTGAAAATGGGGTCGGGGCACCTTTTAAAAAAACTTTGGAGTATTGCAGCTAGCTTTGCATTTTACATGAATAAGTTCAAGATAAGCTAATTTTAGGTATGTTTGTTGTTGTTGTTGTTTTTGAAAATAAATATATTTTTTATCTCTGCAGGTGTTGATTTATCCAAAATTGAAAGGCGCCCCAATGTGGCAAATTTTCTGTTGAGATTAGATTTTGAAAAAGATGTGAGCAAAGTCCTCTTTTTCTTGAAGGATGTTGGCTTAGAAGACAATCAGCTTGGTCAATTTTTAACAAAGAATCCTTTCATTCTCAGCGAAGATCTGGACAATCTTCAAAAGAGGTATTGTGCAGTTAAAACTCTAATCTGGGGGTAGTTATATAATAATAATAGGTCACTATCTGTTTGCTAACTCTCATGATTTTAATAAAGCCAGAAACTTAATATGGCTATGTAATGGTCTTTTTATGGATTCTTATTTTGTGCATTCTCGTCTTTTATACTTCCACCTATTAAAATGACACTCCAGAGGCCAGAACTACTTCACCTGTCATGGTGCCAGAACAATGTCCCTAAGCTGAAGTGGTTATGGTGTCTACCGTGTCCTTTTAATAATAATGATTAAGGATAATGATTAAGTAAATATACCAAACCTGCGTTTTAATTATTTGTTTCAAGAATTCATATAACTAAAGTAAACACACTCCAATGTTCATCAAACAGAGTATATGTTTGATGTTTCATTTATGCTCCTTTAAGTGTTCTTATGACATGAATAGCTGAATTCAGAGAATGTGGATAACCTATAAAGGTTTTATGTGCTTCAGAAGATGTTGGTCAACAACCACTTATATATTGGCATCTTGGGGTAGAGGAGAAATATATATGTAGTATTTGTTTTAAATGGCTTATACAGAAAGCAAAGTAGTCTCTCCCTGCAGAGGCATATCAGGGTATGTAGTGCATCCACACATGGAATACCTATGGTATTCACTTATATATAGGACTTCTTTATATTCTTAGTCCAACGTTCGCTACTTTTTCTTCATGCGGACTACACATCTTATAAGCTTTCATTTCACAATCATTGTATGTTTTCAATGGACAATGCGGCCTTTTTTTCACCACCATGTGAGATGCTTAATTTCTGCTATTCATGCTTGTTTAGCCAGCCACCGCAAATTTGTGGCTGCACCATAGCAGTTAATGCATTTCTGCCCAAATTTGATATTAAATATAAAATACTGCGTTGTATGAGGTGTGTGTCTAGATGTGGTTAAGGAAATATATATTATTTTTTTTAATTCCGAAAGTATTACAAAAAACTGAACCGTGAGAACGTGGTTGGATCTTTCAGTATCTGTTCTTTTCCTAAATGGACATTTTTTTTTTTTTTTGGTTTTCTAACTTCTATGCAAAAGAGATTCTCTACACTGTAGAAACTGCTTTGATTTCCAAATATCCGTAACAATGTAAACTATATGGGTTAGCTCTTATAATGCCTGTCATGCAATGATTCTCTATTAAAATAAGAAAGCAGACATGGAGCTGTAAAGAATTGAGATATACTGCCTTGTGAGTCACTTGAAAATTAACAGACCTTCCGCAATGGAAACTTCAATTTAAAATTCTAGAATCCGTTTATCAGTTAACCTTGACATTCAAGGCTAGCTGAATTCCATTTTCCTCCTATCACTAAAGTCTGATTTTTGCCTTTTGTGTCATGAAGCAGTTATTGCTTTACCAATAACCCCTTCTAATCTGACATATAGTTCCATTATAGCTTTATTCTTTTTTATTTAATCGTGGCCCCAGTCTAAAGAAATCCCATATCCCTAACTTCCCAGGTATTATCTGTTATATATCTTTAATTTAAGTCTACTTGATTGCTCGCAAGTCTAATTAAACACTTGGAACAGGGAATGGCAAATAAATGTAAAGCTTGTCAAACATCCAATATAATATAATAGCTTAAAAAGGCAGTCCTAACTTGAACAAGCATACAACAAATGGCTACTGCTGGGATCATTGGTACAATGTAGTAATACAACACACTGCAGGAGAACCAGGCATACACTGTACATTTGAAAAATATTAACTTTTTATTTTTATTTTAAAGCACAACCCACAGCTAAATTGTATGTATGGGTTATGCAAAAATCAAACTTGTTACAGTTCTGCTGTAACCCATTTGCAACAGCTTAAGTGTATTGTACACCTCCGCCACATTTATACTTTGTATAAATCGTCCCAGAATTGGGAGGTTGACCCAGACATTCAATTGGAAGTGGATTCACTTTGCATTAATTAATTGATGGGGTTTTTATTATAGGCTTTTAAATGCCTATTTAAAGGGACATTATAGTCACCAAAAGAATGTTCGCTTCAGGAAGCAGTTTTGGTGTATAGATCATGCCGCTGCTCAGTTCTCTGCCATTTAATTGTTAAATCACTTTGTTTATGCAGCCAAGTCACACTTCCTTGCATGTGACTTACACAGCCTTCCTAAACACTTCCTGTAAAGAGTCATTTCATGTTTATACTTTATTGCAAATTCGATTTAATTTATAATTTCTTGTCTACTGCTCTGTTAATGGCTTGCTAGATGCTATAGGAGCCCCCTGTATGTGATTAAAGTACAATTTACAAAAACAGGAGATAACAACTTTTAATCTAATTTAACATCTGAAAATTAATCCATTTTGTTTTCATGCAGACTGCTTCAGTGACAGCGAGGGGAGGTTTGTCAAGGGCTTCATAAACAGAAAGAAAAGTAATTTAACTCATTAATGAAAGATAATTAAGCAGTGAGGCTTTTAGAGGCATGACCTATATACAAAAAACGCGTCTTTAAGCTAAGTTGTTTTGGTGACTATAGTGTTCCTGTTAAGCAATCACATGCTGTGTTGACTTCCAGCACTGCATGTAGCATATGATAAAGTCTTCGGCCAGACTTTAAAAATGGCTCCGGCTGCTAGAGTGGAGCCTCCGGTATCCAGTGATACCTGGGACTCCCTGGTGTGTGTAGGGATGTAACTATGCTCACATTGCATTGTAGCTATGGGGATTTAAATGCCTGTTTGCAATGCTCACTTGGGCATCTGCAAGCAGAGGATAATTCAGTCTGGGGCCACTAATTCTGGCCTTAGCTGACAGAGGGGAGCCGAGCTACCAGAAGAGGATCGGTTCCTGCTGTTAAAATACTTACTTTAAGTGAAGGACAACCATGAGGCATTATTTCCGCCATGCGTTCTTAAAGGACCACTATAGTGCCAGGAAAACATACTCGTTTTCCTGGCACTATAGTGCCCTGAGGGTGCCCCCATCCTCAGGGTCCCCCTCCCGCCCAGCTCTGGAAGGGGGAAAGGGGGAAAAACGTATCTTTTTCCAGCGCTGGACGGGGAGCTCTCCTCCTCCGATCCTCCTCCGTTCCTCCCCGTCGGCTGAATGCGCACGCGCGGCAAGAGCTGCGCACGCATTCAGCCAGTCGCATAGGAAAGCATTATCAATGCTTTCCTATGGACGCTTACGTGCTCTCACTGTGATTTTCACAGTGAGAATCACGCAAGCGCCTCTAGCGGCTGTCAATGAGACAGCCACTAGAGGATTTGGGGGAAGGCTTAACCCATTCATAAACATAGCAGTTTCTCTATGCTATGTTTATAAAAGAATGGGTTAAGCCTAGCTGGACCAGGCACCCAGACCACTTCATTAAGTGATTTAACTCCTAAATGGCAGTGAATTGAGCAGTGAAATTGAAGGGGAAAGATCTATACACTAAAACTGCTTTATTTAGCTAAAGTAATTTAGGTGACTATAGTGTCCCTTTAAATCACTTACCTTTGCTCAGAAACCATTTCTACCAACTGCTTGCCAAAGATAATGTAACCAGGAAACATTAGTTTGCAATCTGTTTACCTTTTCCTAGTCCTAGAATGTAATGTCTGTAACATGAAAGATTTGTTAGAAAAATAATAGTTTCTCTGAAACTGCTATGTTTATAAAAGAATGGGTTAAGCCTAGCTGGACCAGGCACCCAGACCACTTCATTAAGCTGAAGTGGTCTGGGTGCCTAGAGTGGTTCTTTAAGGGGTTAAGGGGGCATTATGAGCTACTAACTATTACAGCATGCTAGCACAGTTTAGATATCACACCATTTAAGAAAGCTTGATATAATCGTGAGTCTTTCCAGTGCCAAGGGATTACCTCTATCTTAAAATTAGGCAAAAATAGCTGCAATTTTTCCCCAGTTTAATTTAATTTAACAACGTGTAATTCTTCACCAATACTGATTTAGGATAAGCCTATTCATTGCTTTTGCTTATTAAATCATTAAAGGGACACTATAGTCACCTGAATAGTGATGTTCCGAACGGTTCACCGCGGACTCCTCATTGAGTAAACTTTGACCCTGTACCTCACAGTCAGCAGACACATTCCAGCCAATCAGCAGCAGACCCTCCCTCCCAGACTCTCCCACCTCCTGGACAGCTCACTAAGAATGCAGCTTCACATTGGATGCTGTCCAGGAGGTGGGATGGTCTGGGAGAGAGGTCTGCTGCTGATTGGCTGGAATGTGTCTGCTGACTGTGAGGTACAGGTTCAAAGTTTACTCAATGATGAGTCCGCGGCGAACCGTTCGGGACATAACTACACCTGAACACCTTTAGCTTAATGAAGTAGTTTTGGTGTATAGAACATGCCCCTGCAGCCTCACTGCTCAATTCACTGCCATTTAGGAGTTAAATCCCTTTGTTTATGAACCCTAGTCACACCTCCCTGCATGTGACTTGCACAGCCTTCCATAAACACTTCCTGTAAAGAGAGCCCTATTTAGGCTTTCTTTATTGCAAGTTCTGTTTAATTAAGATTTTCTTATCCCCTGCTATGTTAATAGCCTGCTAGACCCTGGAAGAGCCTCATGTATGTGATTAAAGTTCAATTTAGAGATTGAGATACAATTATTTAAGGTAAATTACATCTGTTTGAAAGTGAAACCAGTTTTTTTTTCATGCAGTCAATCAGAGCCAGGGGAGGTGTGGCTAGGGCTGCATAAACAGAAACAAAGTGATTTAACTCCTAAATGGCAGTGAATTGAGCAGTGAAATTGAAGGGGAAAGATCTATACACTAAAACTGCTTTATTTAGCTAAAGTAATTTAGGTGACTATAGTGTCCCTTTAAATCACTTACCTTTGCTCAGAAACCATTTCTACCAACTGCTTGCCAAAGATAATGTAACCAGGAAAAATTAGTTTGCAATCTGTTCACCTTTTCCTAGTCCTAGAATGTAATGTCTGTAACATGAAAGATTTGTTAGAAAAATAATACTTGTGGTTAAAAAGAGAAATAAAAGTGCTTCCTATAATTTGCCTTGACAGTTTAGATTGTATACGACGACAGTGTAAACATGCTTGTATTGAGAGAAAATTATTGTAAATATTGATACATTTTCCTTATTCCTCACTAACCATGGCAGCGTTAATCATTGGGTATTACACAAACACTAGTAAAACCGTGAGGGCCAAGTAAAGGAAATTACTATTAGAGAGAAACAGAATTGGAAATAGAATTACCAACCTGAACTGAGAAGCAGAAGTAACATACAAACAGTAATGAAAGTGAAAGTGAAGTATTCAGAAAAGACCAGTAGCTCTACAAATGCTCACAAAAGTCAAAAGAACCTCTGCAGCTCAGGAGGTTGAGACAAATCTCATGGATTGAGCCATGATGGCATCGGATCATGGTCAGCTTCATAAGCTTATGATGTAGAAATATCAGTCCAGTCCTAGAACTTTCAAATAGATACAGCTTTTCCTTTGAGTTACCCTATGCAATAATGATCTGCTGTGAGAATTTCCTCCAGGATGTTGTGTAGTTGATAAGGACATTGAACCAAAGCCAGTTTATGCCTTGTCTTCTAACATAGAGGGAGACTGGAGGAATTGAGGAACAATGACCTCTTGGTTAAGGTTATATAGTGATACTACCTTCGGTAAAAAATGAGGCATAGGTCTTAGAAAACACCTTATTTTGGAAGAAAGTCATAAAGAGTTCATCTGAGGAAAAAACTCTAATATCAGTAATTCATCTGGAAGAGGCACCATTACAGTCTTCTATCCGAGCAGAGTCAAGTTTGCTTCCTACAATGGTTCTGTAAAGCTTGATCAAATCTGTGTTTATTCCATTATAGGAAACATTTTGGTCTTTAGCTGCTAGCTGCACGTTCCCTCTGGTGATTGATATATGATTGTCCAATCATGCAAACCCACTTCCCTATAGATAATTGTGAGAGTGGAGCAAATTTGAGAAGACTGCTTGAAGATCCCTGATGTATGGCAGCAGCAGTTGGCAAATAGGTTGCCTAAGTGCACCCCCAAACCTATAGACTGACATTGAATGTGCCCAATGTGAATTGTCCAGTATATTTCTTCCAGTGGAAAGCCCAGAGTTAGGTTGTAAAGATCAAGCCTTTCGGTGTTTTTTCAGAACATTGGGAATGGTAATGAGTGTGTCCCATTGGTGTTTGTGAGGACTTAAACAGCTAAGAAACTACCTCTGAGGTGCCATTGTGCCCATCATACTAAGTCTAGCGTGGATGATCATGTTCTGATTTATAGAAAGGCCAATGCTGCTTCCATTGTTGGCAATGATTTAAACTGTTTTAACTGTACTTTGGACTCCACTGTGTTTTAGTTCACATTCAGAAGGATGTTTTCCTTGGTTGAATGGAGTTGGCCTTCCTTCTGATTGTTCACCATCCAAAGCAAATATTACTCTCATTTGGCATAGAGCTATGCATTTTCACATTTAACTGATACAGACCTGCGTGTCTTGTACTACTCTGTTATACGTTGTATTCTATACAAAAAAGAAGGAATGACAGGAGGATTCTCTTGCCGAAATAAAAAGATATTTAGAAAGAGCTATGCAGACATTATAACTAGTCCATGGAACAATACTGATACGAAAATGAAAATGCATGGGATTTAATATGCTGGCTGAAAATGCAGAATCAAAGAGAGATGTGGTGAACCTAAAGTTTATAGACCTTAAAGGACCACTATAGTGCCAGGAAAACATACTCGTTTTCCTGGCACTATAGTGCCCTGAGGGTGCCCCCACCCTCAGGGACCCCCTCCCGCCCGGCTCTGGAATGGGGAAAGGGGTTTAAACTTACCTTTTACCAGCGCTGGGCGGAGAGCTCTCCTCCTCTGATCCTCCTCCGTTCCGCCCCGTCGGCTGAATGCACACGCGCGGCAAGAGCTGCGCGCGCATTCAACCGGTCACATAGGAAAGCATTTACAATGCTTTCCTATGGACGCTGGTGTGCTCTCACTGTGAAAATCACAGTGAGAAGCACGCAAGCGCCTCTAGCGGCTGTCAATGAGACAGCCACTAGAGGATTAGGGGGAAGGCTTAACCCATTAATAAACATAGCAGTTTCTCTGAAACTGCTATGTTTATTAAAAAATGGGTTAACCCTAGCTGGACCTGGCACCCAGACCACTTCATTAAGCTGAAGTGGTCTGGGTGCCTAGAGTGGTCCTTTAAGCAGTCTCAAGGATTGATAATACAAATGATAGAGGAAAATGATTCTTTTCGGAATAGGTGAGTCAAACAGTTGATCTATACAAAAAAACAAAAGATCAGCACTATCCAGCCACAAAAAAACAAATGGAGGCCTGTTCATGAACCCCAAAAAGAAACATAGTAAAATCAAAGGAAAAGAGGAAGGTAACGCCAATAAATATATGTACTGTTAAATGTGTATATATAAAAACCTAAAATGTGTAATACATATATCAGATATTGAAAAGGGTATTCTTCTTATAGGAAATATCAGGTCAGAGGTAGCTTGGAATCTCTATATACATATAAGAAAGCAGAAAAAAATCCCAGTGGTACAGTATATCTCACGGAGCTTAATTGAGTAAAAGATAAGGGTAATTCTACTCACATTTACCAGATCTATGAGCAGCTCTAGTGTAGATGGTGTAAAGTGGTATTATTCCCACTTCTAGGATATATGGGTAGACTTAGTTCTCAGGTATCACAACAGTATAGCAGCAAGAAGACTCAAAATAGGACAGAAATAATGCTCTCTGTATGTATTGAGCCAGGAGTGATACAAATATATATTGTACTACCATTTAATTGAGCATGCTAACTGCTCAGTGAATAGGGAACAGGTGGTACGATCCCCACTTTTGATTCTTTGGTGAGATTCTAATTGGAATAAATGAACTGGATGTCAGGCAAATTAAATAATAAAATATATTACAAGAAATAAAAAGTAAAGTGGTAAAATTTTGGTGTAAAAGTAGCCAATATTCCTTTATTAACATACAATTAAAAATAATGTTCCACAACGCATTTCACCACGCAGCGCTTTATCAAGTCAAAATCCTGTGTGATTAAACACTTTATAAAACCTTATTTCTCATTCAAATATGTACTGAAGAACAGAAAGCTGTCAGATCATTTTGTAGAGCAAATGCAAAAACAGAGGGTCTAGGGTTTTTTAAAATAAAATTAAAATATGTATGTGTATATATACATTTTTGGGTTGCTTTGTTTCACCTTCAAATGTTGTAAAAGACTAAGGAGACACTTGCTAGCTTGGTAAAAATCATTTCAATACTGAAATGTCTGCATTCTTATAACCATTGTAAAATAAATAGACTTTATATTTTTATTTTTATGAAATGATGACCTTTCTTTATGGAAATTAAATCAAAATTAATTTGTAAAAGGCCATGTTGAGAACAAAAAAAAGATGACTGTTCCTAGCAATAAATAAAATAAGCCTTTGATGTCGCAAAAAAAAGTAGCATAATTTTGCTTTTGACAGCATCAACAATTTTGTTCCAAGACAAAATGGAACTCCTGACAGCAATCATTTCAGGAGATTGCAGGATATCTACCTCAGTAGTGGCTATGAGAGGTGGATTTCCTGTGGTATTTAGCCAGCCTGTCTTGGAAAATACACAATCACAAAGATTAACATGTACATGTCAGATTTGTTTGGCTGCTATTTCAAACATTCAATAAATATACTACTACAAAATAATTAGCACGTCAACCATAATCAGTGCAGATAAAGGCCGCTTAATTAACACTCTGTCTATTATAGTCATGGTAAAAAAACACCACTTGTCCTTTTCAGATGACCACTGATTTGTCCTGATAGAATCCTCATTAATGTAGCACAAGCTATCTCTATATGAATTTCTGAGGTCAACCAGGCAACTATATTACATACCTGTTGGTGGTATGTTTTCTCCAGAACATCTCGCTTATGATCCCATCATGTAATAAATTGATATATCTGACTGGCATATATTTCATGTTTTGACAACACTTCCAAAAACTCCTCCACCCAAGTCGTAAAACCAGTTTATTATGCCCTCACAACATCTGCCAAATTTTGTACAGAGCTGTTATTATACAGAGCGCAGATCTGTGAATGCAACACCTTTTTTTTCCCTTTTTTTTTTTTTAAAGAGACAGCAAATTTGACAGCCGATAAGATCCGCTTGGAGATATTTCCTATTTAAAGCAAATAGTTTATTTTGTTTCTTTCTCAAGAATTGTGAATGTCTTTCCCAAGCTTTTTTGGATTCTTTAATGGTCTGTATTTTATGATAGGGGGCTGATGAGTGATGGACTAACTTCAATATAATACAGGAGCTGGGGAACTTTTTTCATTTTATTTTTCGTCACTATCTGCACTTGGAATCTTTCCCATTCCCATGTTAATTACGATTCCTTCATGGGAAGCATAGTGTAGTTTATATGATGTGAGGCTGTTACTTGATGGAATAATGCATCATCTTGTTTATCAGTTTGCTTCCAGAGATCTTAAGAACATTGTAAAAGAGACAATATAGTCTGTCATGCTGACCTTTTCTCGTCTAATCCATTGCACCCATTGCTCCTTATAGAGAGCATTGGGTCGAAACGTGTATACACGGCAAGTGCTGCGCTCCTTCAATCAAATGTAGATTAGCTGTGAGTTTGACTCAGTTATCACAGCAGAAGCTCCTCTAGTTGCTGTCAGGAAGATAGCCATCAGAGGCATATTTTATCTTGCAATGTAGGCATTGCCATATCTACTAAACAGCAATGTTTAACATTGTAGGGTTAAAACTAAAGGACCACTGCACCCAGACGACTTAATTGAGATAAAGTGGTCTGGGTGCCAATAATGGTCCTTTTACACATATACAGGCAGTGCAGAATTATTAGGCAAATGAGTATTTTGACCACATCATCCTCTTTATGCATGTTGTCTTACTCCAAGCTGTATAGGCTCGAAAGCCTACTACCAATTAAGCATATTAGGTGATGTGCATCTCTGTAATGAGAAGGGGTGTGGTCTAATGACATCAACACCCTATATCAGGTGTGCATAATTATTAGGCAACTTCCTTTCCTTTGGCAAAATGGGTCAAAAGAAGGACTTGACAGGCTCAGAAAAGTCAAAAATAGTGAGATATCTTGCAGAGGGATGCAGCACTCTTAAAATTGCAAAGCTTCTGAAGCGTGATCATCGAACAATCAAGCGTTTCATTCAAAATAGTCAACAGGGTCGCAAGAAGCGTGTGGAAAAACCAAGGCGCAAAATAACTGCCCATGAACTGAGAAAAGTCAAGCGTGCAGCTGCCACGATGCCACTTGCCACCAGTTTGGCCATATTTCAGAGCTGCAACATCACTGGAGTGCCCAAAAGCACAAGGTGTGCAATACTCAGAGACATGGCCAAGGTAAGAAAGGCTGAAAGACGACCACCACTGAACAAGACACACAAGCTGAAACGTCAAGACTGGGCCAAGAAATATCTCAAGACTGATTTTTCTAAGGTTTTATGGACTGATGAAATGAGAGTGAGTCTTGATGGGCCAGATGGATGGGCCCGTGGCTGGATTGGTAAAGGGCAGAGAGCTCCAGTCCGACTCAGACGCCAGCAAGGTGGAGGTGGAGTACTGGTTTGGGCTGGTATCATCAAAGATGAGCTTGTGGGGCCTTTTCGGGTTGAGGATGGAGTCAAGCTCAACTCCCAGTCCTACTGCCAGTTCCTGGAAGACACCTTCTTCAAGCAGTGGTACAGGAAGAAGTCTGCATCCTTCAAGAAAAACATGATTTTCATGCAGGACAATGCTCCATCACACGCGTCCAAGTACTCCACAGCGTGGCTGGCAAGAAAGGGTATAAAAGAAGAAAATCTAATGACATGGCCTCCTTGTTCACCTGATCTGAACCCCATTGAGAACCTGTGGTGCATCATCAAATGTGAGATTTACAAGGAGGGAAAACAGTACACCTCTCTGAACAGTGTCTAGGAGGCTGTGGTTGCTGCTGCACGCAATGTTGATGGTGAACAGATCAAAACACTGACAGAATCCATGGATGGCAGGCTTTTGAGTGTCCTTGCAAAGAAAGGTGGCTATATTGGTCACTGATTTGTTTTTGTTTTGTTTTTGAATGTCAGAAATGTATATTTGTGAATGTTGAGATGTTATATTGGTTTCACTGGTAATAATAAATAATTGAAATGGGTATATATTTGTTTTTTGTTAAGTTGCCTAATAATTATGCACAGTAATAGTCACCTGCACACACAGATATCCCCCTAACATAGCTATAACTAAAAACAAACTAAAAACTACTTCCAAAAATATTCAGCTTTGATATTAATGAGTTTTTTGGGTTCATTGAGAACATGGTTGTTGTTCAATAATAAAATTAATCCTCAAAAATACAACTTGCCTAATAATTCTGCACTCCCTGTAGATATTTTGTGTCTTGGAAATATCAGGACACATTTTTCATCTACTCATTGTGAACCCATTTAGGTGAGTTTCCGACAGCAATCTGTGCCGAATCACCAGCTTTCTAAGTCTAAATAAGGTAAGCCTTACTGTTCCAGGTTGCCGTCCAACCCCTAAAAAAATAATCATTATCATTTTGCACGTCTAGAAGAACAAGGAAGACTGAAGGTGTCTATTGTTAAGCAGCAGTTTTAAAGATATATTAAAAATGTTTTCTTTTGATTGGCTATTTTGTTTTTACATTTGAAAGATTTTAAATGTTTGGGAAATGTTCTATACCTGTTGTGGAAACCATGAAATTTGTAGTTAAATCTCTGCACGAGAGCATCAAATATCTAGCCCTTACAGACAACCATCTGCTGGAACTATAAAAAGGGATATAAAGAAAGATATTTCTCTTTATAGAGAACATAACAGTAGAATTATATATCCCCTCAGGAAATCCCTCCATCATACGATATTTGTATATTCCAACCAGACCTAGGTTTATAAAAAAAGTAAGCAATGTTGGCAAAACCACAAACATTTATACATACATACATTTAAAATATATATATTTTTATATCAATAAACCATCACTGCAGGATAAATATTTTGAAGAAATTGACAAACCTAAAACTTAGACCGATAAAGATTAAGTTGGGGATGAATCCTTTTGGCACCCCAACAGACAGCTTGTTTTTTTATGAGTCAGTGAATGTTATGATTTATCGAGGCATTTTACTCAACCACAGTCAGGGTTGGTAGGCGATGGGAGCAGAAATGCAATGTGAAACTGGTGTTCTAGCTCGCTTTACTGTTGTCCCTGCTAGGCACTAAGCATTTTTCATATATACGGCAGAGGAATACACATCTCCTTTAATCTGTGAAATCGAGGGTTTGTGGACATCTAGTGGAACATTTATCTTACTACACTCCAACAGAAGCCAAGAAGTTAGTGGAAGTGATTGTGGGATTCAGTGGTTTCAACTTGATTGCTCTCCACCTCACCATGTTCAAAATGGAGGAATATTGGGGCTATATATCGGGAACCGAGATTAATGAGTACGGTTGGTCAACTAACTTCCCCTTTTTAGGGGAGAAACCCATTTTGTCATTGAATTGCTAATATATGTCCCTCTTTTGAAGATAAATAAAAAATTAAAGTAAACTTTGTTTTTCTAACATCACGAGAGAACACACCTGGAAAACCATTTCAGGTTATTGAAGACCATTCTGGAATCTGGTGACATGAAATGTTGATTTGTTTTTCTCAATGTATATGCATCCCCCAGCAATTTAATTTCAAATAAAGTGTTTTTGAGTTTTAAAATTTGTTTTGTCACTGCAAGTAAATTTACTAGTTTACCTGTGACTTTCTCCTATAAAATAAATATCATGCAGTCGTGTCAGAGATAGATATAGAGATAATACATGCAATGGTGAGGTTCCAAGCCGCTGTTAGATCTGGGTATGGCAGCTGGTACTTCCCAAACCAGAGTCTCTTCTCTCTGGTCGTAATTAGGTATCGATCAGGAAAGGGTACATATATCTGTGTATAAGCTCCAGAAAATTGTAAGTGGCATTTCTCTTATTTCACCTCACCACCTATATATTATACTACTCTATATTCTGTTTTCTGTCTTCATATTTTTCATATTGACTCACCACCCAGAATGCGCTGCTTCCTTTTACCCTTTCCTGAGATATAGATATATAATTAGATTTTCTCACGCCTCCTGGGTGGTATATATTCCTCATTCTAAGGTTCCCACTGGAGGCCTGGGAGTCTAAGGGTTCTTTGCAGTATCTTAGCTGTTCCTAGAACTGCACTGTTTAGACAGTGGTCTCCGATGTTACACCTCTGATATATGTATACTTTATATATGTGTATAATATTTGTGCAGGTGTTTGAGAGCTTTTCAGACTATATTTTATTTTGGAATATATAGTAGTGGAATTTTGTAAATGTTTATTTTATTTATGTGCCCTTTATTTTTTTCAGGGTTGCTTACCTGCGGATCAAAAAATTCAGCAAAGAAGCCATTAGCCGTATTGTTGCACGAGCTCCCTATTTGCTGAACTTTTCAGTAGAGAGACTGGATAACCGTCTAGGCTTTTTCCAGAAAGAACTCGGACTCAGTGCGGAAAAGGTGAGACAGTGATTTCTTTTCCTGATATATGGGTTCTAATACTTGAGTTTAAAGCATATTAACTGCCTATATTTTTAAATGATACACCGTGGAGGTGATTTATCAAAGTGTTTGTTTCTAAAAAGTGGTCTAAAGTTTCCATTATTGTGTCCATTCTTTAACGAAGGATTCTTCACTGATTAAGCTGTTTTTCTCCATTTAAAAAATTAAAAATATATTTTATATTTAGCAGGTATTACAGGTATGTCAAGAAATAATAAAATAGTAAACTATAACAAAATAAGCATTTATTAAACCAATGCAATAAGAGTTAAAATATATAGCAGTAGTATTCTCAGAAACTCAGCAGCGTAGAGAACTAGGGCCAGCGCACCCTGTCTTCATTTTTACTTAAATAGAGAGGGTAATGCAAGAAAGTGAGAACAGAAATAAAAGTAAAAACAAACAATAAAAATTTATATTAGAGTATTTTGTTTTAATATTTTTAGAGAAGTTTATCTTCATTCAGTAAGATGGAAATTTACAATAAACCAGTAGGATATAGGTGTTTGTTTTAAAAATGTGATCCATTCTTATTCTTGTGTGTGTCCAATGTTACAGTTTTACGGGAGGATTTACATTGCAGTTTGTTTGTGTGTGTATATGTGTGCGTTTATAAGTGGTATATTATTATGCAATGCATAATTGAATTTTACAAGTAAAAATTATGTGTTTCAATTATAGACTAGAGACTTGATAACTCGCTTTCCAAGAATGGTGACTGGAAGCCTTGAACCTATTCGAGAAAATCTGAAGGTAGAGCACGCACACACTTTTTATTTACGAATACTACAGTAAGGCATACAATAAGAACCTGTTATGTTTTTTTTTTGATTGTTGCCAAAACAACACTAGTTTCATTTTGTTTTAACTGTTAACACGAGCACCTGACTTTGTTTATTTTTCTGTTACTGTTTTTACATATTTTGAAATCTTTCGTACTGATTTATGCCCAAGCAAAAAAAGAAACCTATTACAAAAGCTTGTTTCTTCCAACGGTGCATATTTAAAAACCAACCAAATAAATAAACTACCATGAAATATCATAAAGTAATTGCATCTTCCCTTTATCTACTTGTAATGGAATTTTAGAACCAATACTTCTTCATCAAATATTATGGTGACTTACTGACAACGGGTAAAAAAATAATCTTTAGGGATGTTTATTGCCTACTTTGGGCCAAGATTTTTTTGGGTACATGCAAAAGCATTAGTTAGATGAATTATACCAAAGTGGGACCCTTAGTGGAAGAAGTTATTTGTAAAATGTTTTTTTTTTTTTGTTGTTTTTTTTTTACTTGCATACATTGGAATTGTCTGTTATGTTGTTTTCCAGGTGTTTGAAATTGAGTTGGGCTTCCGTAAGAATGAAATACAACATATAGCATTGAGGGTTCCCAGAATTCTCACCAACCATAAGAACAGACTAACAGAAACGTTTGATTATGTGCACAATGAAATGGGAATCCCTCACCATATGATTGCCAAATTTCCACAGGTATGGTATTGCGATGTCATAAAATAAGATTCTAAGATATCCAATTCTACATAGACAATACCTAGATACCAGGTCCCCTATTTGTTGTGATAAACATTCCTTCATGTTGCAACCCTAATCTTTCTAAGTGAATGCTGTTGTGCAGACCCACAGGGATCTGTACTTGGACCCATTCTCTTTAATATTTTTATTAGTGATATTGCAGAAGGTCTTGATGGTAAGTTATGTATTTTTGCTGATGATACTAAGATATGTAACAGGGTTGATGTTCCAGGAGGGATAAGCCAAATGGCAAATGATTTAGGTAAACTATAAAAATAGTCAGTATTGTGGCAACTGACATTTAATGTGGATAAGTGCAAGATAATGCATCTTGGACGTAAAAACCCAAGGGCAGAGTACAGAATATTTGATAGAGTCCTAACCTCAACATATGAGGAAAGGGATTTAGGGGTGATTATTTCTGATGACTTAAAGGTAGGCAGACAATGTAATAGAGCAGCAGGAAATGCTAGCAGAATGCTTGGTTGTATAGGGAGAGGTATTAGCAGTAGAAAGAGGGAAGTGCTCATGCCATTGTACAGAATACTGGTGAGACCTCACTTGGAGTATTGTACACAGTACTGGAGACCGTATCTTCAGAAGGATATTGATACCTTAGAGAGGGTTCAGAGAAGGGCTACTAAACTGGTTCATGGATTGCGGGATAAAACTTACCAGGAAAGGTTAAAGGATCTTAACATGTATAGCTTGGAGGAAAGACGAGACAGGGGGGATATGATAGAAACATTTAAATACATAAAGGGAATCAACACAGTAAAGGAGGAGACTATATTTAAAAGAAGAAAAACTACCACAACAAGAGGACATAGTCTTAAATTAGAGGGACAAAGGTTTAAAAATAATATCAGGAAGTATTACTTTACTGAGAGGGTAGTGGATGCATGGAATAGCCTTCCAGCTGAAATGGTAGAGGTTAACACAGTAAAGGAGTTTAAGCATGCGTGGGATAGGCATAAGGCTATCCTAACTATAAGATAAGGCTAGAGACTAATGAAAGTATTTAGAAAATTGGGCAGACTAGATGGGCCGAATGGTTCTTATCTATCGTCACATTCTATGTTTCTATGTAAGTGATGCAAAATAAATCCTCCCAGAGTGTTTTAAGAACTAATGCAAATAATTTAATGTAATAAACGAAAACATGACAAAACAGATGTGGCTTTTCATGTCTGGGAAGTTAAATCTTATTTAGTAGTGGACAATTAATCAATTTCTTTATATTATTATTTTTTTTTTCTCAGACGTGTGTGTGTGTGTGTGTACTTAATTTTTTTTTTTTCTAGCTGTGTAAGTGTGTTTTTTACCTACCTCCACTGTACTTCACACCTTAGTAAATGCTTCAGTATGATTTAGAAAAGTGGGGAACCGTCTTTAACAGAAATGATCTATAAATGATATTTATAACATTTGAATTTTTAGATACATGGGGGATTCTCAAATTTTTTAAATCAATTTACATAATCCTGGAAGTTTTTTATTTAAGTATATTGGGTGTACGCTGGCTGTTATGGTAAGCCGGGCCCAGCCTGTCATGAGACATTTTTTTTTTTAGGTTACCTTGGCTTTTTATTTAAATTGCAAGCCAGAAGATAGATGAGCAAGATACACTTTTCAGTAGTTATTTTGCCTGCTGGAAATGTATAGTCCCATTTTATCCTTGTGCAATACATATCAAACCTGTTATTTGCTTTGCAAAGTCCTGCACAGGTTGATATTCTAATGTTGAAAGATGTAGCACTAACTAGCTAGCATTTGGTCACTTCATCGCAAATCTGGTATTATCAGTTTATATATTGCCATTACAAACAATTTTTTTTTTCTCCAGGTTTTTAATACAAAGCACTTAAGGCTGAAGGAGAGACACCAGTTTCTTACATTTCTGGGAAGGGCGACGTATGACCCATTGCAACCCAACTACGTGTCTCTAGACAGATTAGCATCTCTGCCTGACAACTTGTTTTGTGAAGAGGTTGCCAAAGCAACAGTTGAAGAGTTAGAAACATTCCTAAAAACACTTTAATTAAATTATTTATTCAAACCAGTTTGAAGAAAGATTATTTTGTTTATGTTTGTGTGTATGTAACAGAATACTGTATCTGACTGCTGTATATTTCCAAGATTTAATTGGACATTCCAAGTACCATTAACACTGTGTTTTATTTTTGTCTATTTTCAATCACTTAACAAAAAACTGGAAAAATCCACTGCATCCAGAGTACACTGTTGACATTAACCAGTGTACACTGACATTGTGAAAGAGAAGTCCTGATTGAGCTGCAGAACAATGCAGTTAATTCTGATGCAGCAAACTATTGTTGAGTAGTGATTTTAAAGGGTTACTTTAAACACCATAACTACATCAGTGATTTAAAGTGGTCATGTTAGTTAGACTCTGTATGTGCAGTGTTTCACTATGAAAGGCATCACATACAGAGAAAATGCTCTTTCTTGTCGTAGATGTAACGCTACCCCCGGGACCTTAACTAGAGCATCATTAGCTAGACCAGTTCCAGGTTGCTTATGTCTGTAACGTAATTAAAGTGCTTTGTCTGCACACACAATATGTTGGCAACAGATAGCCAATGGTGGCATGGCTACCCCCTCCACGCTGCTCACATCCTCCCTGACATACCTCCAGCAAGGGGGTGTCAGGAGGGAGATTAGGCTGCCAGAGGAAGTTGGCCTTCATGCTAAAGTGAAGGTACGTTGTTTTTTTGTATATTTTATTTTGTTTGGTTTTATTTTTTATTTTTTGAGGATGTGGGTGGGGGGAACATGCCAGTAAGGGTTGCTCCACCCAAAAAAAAGTGTTTTATTAACTCTTTAAATAGCTAAGCACACATACAACTACAGTCATATAGGCATTGAAATCTCCCTAGAAAATCTAGAGAAGGGGATGAGGGGTAAGATCCCACTCTCCTAGTACTTGTGTCGTGCTTAAAATCCATAATTGGTTATAGTGCCTAGAGTCCCCTGGCACTGTCCCTCCATTTTCAAGAAGTTTAACAACAAGTAATAGTCTCTGGCCTCCCACAACCTTTCCCCCACTGGAGGTATGGCTCAGGCAATACCAATTCATACCAGCAATGGGCGCTGTGATGAGCGCTCACAATGGTGAGCTGACAGTCTCAGCCAATCACAGACACCCATTGCTGCTCTATCTAATACTTCATGGTTGGTTATTAGGTGTACTAGATATGGATCAATACAAACATGGTGATAAAAAAAGAACTTACAGGTGTATACCAGCTGACCAAAAAGAGAAAGTATACAGGTAAAGAAATGTAGCATTTAGTATGGATATCTTGTCACTTACCTACCTCATTGCATTCTAATCCACCATTTCTCTGATTGCTTAATGTTTTACCATGTGCAGTTACTTTGGAGAGGACTGACTGATTAGACTAGCAGTGATAACATCGATATTCTGGAGGGCATTTTAAAAATGTTATCAGTAAGAACTGGCACAGTGTAGTCAGTCCACTTCATTCTAAGTAAACTGTACTGTGGCTAAGGGGGACAGGAACACTGCACTCAGACCTCTTCAATGAGATGAAGTGGTCTGGGTGCCTATAGTGTCCATTTAAGTGCTACCTAAACAAATAAACAGCAATAATATTTTAACTTTGTAAATGTCACGTTTATTCAATAAAGGACCACTATAGGCACCCAGACCACTTCAGCTTAATGAAGTGGTCTGGGTGCAAGGTCCAGCGAGGTTTAACCCTTTTTGCTGTAAACATAGCAGTTTCAGAAAAACTGCTATGTTTACCTATGGGTTAATTCAGCCTCTAGTGGCTGTCTTCCGCGCTTCTCACTGTGATTTTGAGAATGCTTTCCTATGGACTGGCTGAATGCGCGCGCAGCTCTTGCCGCGCATGCGCATTCAGCCAGGGACGTCAGAAGAGGGAAGAGAGTCCCAGCAAGGTAAGGGATTAACCCCTTCCTCCCCCTTCAGCGCCACGGGAGTGGGACTCTTAGGGTGGGGACACCCTCAGGGCACTATAGAGCCAGGAAAACGAGTATGTTTTCCTGGCACTATAGTGGTCCTTTAAAGTGAAAATTCAAGTTGAATTCAAGATCATTTTCAAATCTAAGGTCAAAATAGCCAAACTGGAAAAAGTATTTCAGTTCAGATACTCTGGCCTTAAATTCAGAATTAATTTCAAATTCTCACTTCATTAAAAATCCTGTATTTCTTTTTCTTAGCAAGCTCTAAGTTAGTGCAATGCTTATCCTCAGTGTGTACTGCCATCTGCAGGAATACCCTGTGAATTAAATCATTCTTTTCTAAAAAAAAAAAACACGAATGGCATTCTTTACTTGAGTAAGACATTTTGGGAATTCAAAGGGAATTAAAATTTACAGTAAGTTCAAACTGGAAACATTCTAAAAGCCTACTAAGCTTCCATTTTGATTACTTTGGCCATAAATTTAAAATTAATATTCAATTCCCTACAATCTTCTCTATAGTGATCCTGATTCATTTTAACTTCCGCTCTTTATATGCTGTACTTTTTACATTATAAAAAAGGTGTTGTAGGGGTCCAGAGTGTCCCTTTAGGTAACTGTAAGTGGAGTACGATTATGATGTCAGAAGTTTCATTTTTGCGAATTGAAAAAAGTTATATTAAATATTACAGCTGCTTCTCATTATAATAACATTTTACTATTCAATAGAAACCCAGCCTTCTCCTTGTCTGTATTAATAAATAAGGGACGGAAGCAATTGTCCAAATGAAAACAAAACCTAGAATTTGAGCTATATGTTTGTTTAACCATAATATACCTCTTTCATATTAAGTGCACCCACACTTATTATATATTATTTTGTTCAGGATAAATATGGCTTTCATTTCACATCAAATAGCTATATATTTAACATAATTTATATAATATTAAAAAGTATGAGAAATTAAGACATTTTATTTTCCAACCTTTGCATTGCATTTCTTTAACCGTGAATCTCCTAATACTGTTAGCTTTTGCTGCAATAAAACACACACATTTGTATACCGTGATCTCCCACAAGTACAACGATGCTCACCATGACCAGGTTTATGGTGTTTTGGAAAGTTAGAGGGTCAAATATAGGACTTCTTCATTTACGTTTTTACACATTGAAATTTCCCGGATTGATTTGGGGACCTATGTGGCCTTTGAGTCCAAATGGCAGCACAGGAATAAGAATTACCCCCATCATGGCATACCATTTGCAAAAGTAGGTAAGCCAGGACATTAAAAATGGGGTATGCCCTTTCTTGTTTAGTGGCCACTTACTCACAAACCCTAGCCAAAGTTTGTATTCCTTTTTGTTTTTTCCTCCCCACAAGAACTGTACTTTCACTGATAATATCATCATTATATGTTTTACTGCTCTAAATCACTCATATTTGTGGTCAGCAATGACTCACAAGTACAACAGTACCCCCATATATAGGATTTATGAGTTTTTGGAAAGTTATAGGGCAAAACATGGGGAATGATCATTTCAGTCTTCATGCCTGGAAATTGGACAAAATGATTTCTGGGCCTATGTTGCATTTGAGACCAAGGCCGGACTGGCCCACCGGGATACCGGGAAATTTCCCGGTGGGACGCGGCACCTGAGGCTGGGCTAACAGCCCTAATCATTGCTCAGGCTTCTGTGAACAGCCCTAATCATTGCTCAGGCTATGTGTGAGCTGTGCGGCCGCACAGAGCCCCATGTGAGCAGGGGAAGCCAGAAGGTCGGCACAGCTCACACATGGCCGGCCGGGATCATAAAAAAAAATGCGGCAGGAGTGGAGTTACCGTGCGGCGGGGCTTAGTCGGCGGTGGGGGCAGAGCTTACTGTGCGGTGGGGGCCTAGCTAACTGCAGCATGGGAAGCAGGAAGGAATCCCTGCTTCCCTAACAACCAGCTTCCAGGAGCTCCAAGCAGGAGGTAAGAAGGTCAGTGTGTCTGTGTATGACTGCCTGTGAGTGTGTGACTCTCTGTGTGTGTGACTGTCTGTGACTGTCTGTGAGTGTGACTGTGTGTGTGTGTGTGTGCGACTGTCTGCCTGTGTGTGACTGTGTGTGTGTGTATGTGACTGTCTGCCTGTGTGTGACTGTCTGTGTGTGTGTGACTGCCTGTGAGTGTGTGTTTGTGTCTGTATGTGTGACTGTCTGCGTGTGTGTGTGTGACTGCCTGTGTGTGTGTGACTGTGTGTGTTTGTGTCTGTCTGTATGTGTGACTGTCTGCCTGTGTGTGACTGTGTGTGTGACTGTGTGTGTGTGTGTCTGTCTGCCTGTGACTGTGTGTGTGTGTGTGTGTGTGACTGTCTGCATGTGTGTGTGTGTGACTGTCTGCCTGTGTGTGACTGTGTGTGTGTGGCTGTCTACCTGTGTATGTGTGTGTGTGTGTGTGTGACTGTCTGCCTGTGTATGTGGCTGTCTGCCTGTGTGTGTGTGTGTGTGTGGCTGTCTGCCTGTCTCTGTATTTGTGGATGTTTGCCTCAGTGTCAGTGACTGTCTGCCTCTGTGTGTGTGCGCGCATCTGCTAGTGAGGGAGCCTCTGTGTGTGTGTGCCTGCTAGTGAGTGAGCTTGTATGTGTGTCAGTGAGCTTGTCTGTATGGATCATATGTGTGTGTGTGTGTTAGTGAGCTTGTCTGTAAGGAGCATGGGTGTGCCAGAGCCTGTCTGTGGTGAGCATGTGTGTACAGTGAGCTTGTCTGTAGTAAGTATGAGTGTGATCGTGAGCTTATCTGTAGTGACCATATGTGTGTCAGTGAGATTGTATGTAGTGAGCATGTGTGTATCAGTGAGCTTGTCTGTAGGGAATCTGTGTGTTAGTGAGCTCTTCTGTAGGGAGCATGTGTGTGTCAATGGGCTTGTCTGTAGGGAGAGTGTGTGCACATCAGTGAGCTTGTCTGTAGTGAGCGTGTGTGTGTGACAGTGAGCTTGTCTGTAGTAAGCTTGTCTGTGTATCAGTTTGTCTGTACTAAATTTGTTTGTGTGCCAGTAACCTTGTCTGTGTGTGTCATTGAGATTGTCTGTCAATGAGCCTATTTGTGTGCATCAGTAAGATTGTCTGTGTCTGTGTGTGAGTATGCTTTACTGTATAATTAAATTACCCTAAAAGAACTAATATTTTGAAATAGAAGAAGAAATGTATCAATAATATATATACTGTTGCATCACCAGGGCTCCAGTATCCAGACAATTGAAATAGTTGGCTGCACTCTCAGATTTCCTTAAAACGTAACTTTTATTGAAATATTTAAGAGAAGATCAATGTTTCAGTCCCTCTTGTGGACTTTCGTCATGATCCTGATGCAAGTCCACAAGAGGGACTGAAACGTTGATCTTGTCTTAAATATTTCAATAAAAATTAAATTTTAAGGAAATCCGAGAGTGCAGCCAACTATTTCAATTGTGTATATATATATATATATATATAATAACACCCTACACAGCACAATGACTTATGGGGCTGGCATAGATTTTTTTCCAGGGCTTCTTCGTATCCCCAGTCCGGCCCTGTTTGAGACACTATTGTAGCCTGGATAAATGATTTGAATTTTCACAGCACATTCCATAATCCTGCTATGTGTTAGTGCAATAAACCTCAGTATTTATATTTAACATTATGACGGTAGTCACCATCACTGCGGATGGAAGACAGACACTATGTGTAGGTCCCAAGATTCCTTTTGTGTTCTGGTCACCCTGTGTAAATTATTGGTGCAGGATATGTTGATTGTATTGCTTATCTGTGCCTCTCCTCCTCCACCTTTTTCCTGTCCTGTTGTTTCCCCAGCAGGGAGTTGTCCCAGGGACCTGCCAGACCAATTTAAACCAGCTGCCCTGTACCCCCTCAATCTCCCATCAGCCCTTGCTATTGTCTGACCCCACCCTTCCTTATATGTATATGCACCCTGTTATATGTAAATGAGGCTGTTGGGGGCTTAAAATATGTGTGCTATGTCTAGTAAAGGTTGTTGCTGTTGTAACCTTCACCAAGTGTCGTCTGGTGTTTGGATATAATCTGCTGATGAAAATGGTGTCCAGGGCTATAAAGACAGTAGCCTGGTCCAGGGTGGAAAAGGCCCTCAGTGATCCCAGTCATGCCTCGTTGACTGGGTCTGAAGTGCTCCAGGATCCCTGATAGCTACGAGGAAGCAGACTTGGCGGAGGTACTCAGTCGGAGTACTAGAGCTTTGTTACAAACATTGTCTCACGAATATAACGCCTTCAAGACTTCTTGAGGGCTGCACCACTCCTGTGGAACTCACTTTCCTCCTCCGTTAGATGCTCACCCAGTCTCCACTCCTTCAAAAAATCATTAAAAACCCACTTCTTCATAAAACCGTATCAACTAAACTGTTAATAGCTCCGGACTGATTCCTCTCTTGCAACTGTCATTAGTCTAATACTATCCTTACCTTTTGTGTCACTATACCCCACTCCCTCTGGCATGTATGCTCATTGAGCAGGGCCCTCAACCCCTCTGTTCCTGTGTGTCCATCTTGTCTGGTTACAACTACATGTCTGTTCGTCCACGCACTGTAAAGTGCTGTGGAATTTGTTGGCGGCATATAAATAATAACAGAAAAAAAGAGGAATGGAAGCTATAGGGAAAGCA